GCGGGAAACGATCCACGGCCATAATTATAATGATTCTCACGCGGACATCTGTGAAAAAGAGCTTTCGAGCTCATCGCATCCCTCCAGTATAAATAAAGATTCCTATAATCACAACGCATTCCCCTTGCAATCGCATCTGAGACACGTGTCCCTTCTCCTGTGTGCGCGGCGTCCCTGCGGATATCTGGTGGCAGAATCTTCGCCAGAACAGGGAGCCCGGGGGGGGGGGGGGCGGGAGGTCAGTGTCGGGTTCAGCGCTCCGCTTGTTGACGCGCGTTGCGGATCGGCCTCCAGCTCCTGTACCGTGCCGCCATTCGCCACGAACGGAACAGGCCCCTCGCCTCTTTACGCACGGGTACAGTAGTCGACCCTGTGTCTGTTCAATGAAACTTAAGTTTGCAGTTGCGAATAACAATCTGCCGACTCACGAGATAGGGAATGTAATTGTTCAACGTCGATTTACGTTTGCGCAAATATTTTAGGTTTTTTCATGTGGCGATGCAGCTCTTTTTGAGCTGAATTCTTATTTTCTTCATTGCTATCCGCACCTCCGATTAGCACGGTTGGCTACGTACGGTGCGAAAGAAGTTCAACATACATACATATATAGTTTATTTGGTTTGCTTTTGTAATTTTAGTGACCCCGGTTAATCACGCTTGCAAATGAGACTCATCTTGGTCTCTATAGAGTTATCATCTGGTTAAACAAAATCAACTTGAAACTATAATCAGAAAAACACGACGATGTCAACCTGATATGAACACCGACCTTCTAGTGCAGTCGTTCCCAACCATTCTGGACGTACGGACCGCTGACAAAATCGTGGGCCACCGTGCACCAATTATTATTATACCAGCCGCTTGTTTACCCAACAAAGCCTCACGGAGTCTCAAGACTGTTTTTCAGTAGGGTCCTGGCAAGTTTACCCAGTAGGGGGGCGATGTTGCTGTGTGTAATCCCAAATTAGTAATTTGCAGTGGAATTTATCAGCAATGGGATGTTCTGTCAATACCAGTGACATTGTGTGGGGTTTTTATTTTTAGCTATGGGAGGACGCTTGCGATCCCGGAGGAAACCCCATGCAGAACGTGGGGGGCAGAACGTAACAACTCCTCACGGTAGCGGTGCCCCGGTCGAGAATTGAACCGAGGGCCTTCTTGCTGTGATGACCCTGGCGGCTTTTGCGCTGTGCTCCCAGGTGCTCGTAATGTCACCCCATGATTTGCTCCACGTTCTCCGCGGTCGCATGCCGGGGGCCTCTTTTAATTTCCCGCTTGCTTGCGAAGGTGGCGATCGGATACCGGCGTGTCACGGGTCGTGCGGTTTCGAGTTGAGTCGCGTGCTCTGTTGTTTTCGGAGGCACGGGTGGTGTGAGAGCAAATCAGTACAGCGGCCACTGCTCGCGTTTTTCCGCACAGGAGTGGGCGAGGCCCGAGAGGGGCGGACGGATCGCGGTGCGGCCGGCGTGCGAGGTGGAGGAGCGACTCGTCTGCCTGGTCGAGGTCGTCTCCGAGGGGGATCAGAGGGAGGAGCAAGCGGAGCAAGCGGACCAGGCGGAGGAGGGAGAGATGGACAAGCGGGAGGAGGTGGAGAGGCGGGCGGAGGGGCGCCTCCCGCTCAACGCGTGGCCGCGTCGCAAGGCGCAGAACGCCTACGTGCTCAGGGGAGGAGACGCGGCGGGGAGGCAGCACGGGGAGAGGGAAGCGGAGCTGCTGAGCCCGGACCTTCACGGTTACGGTGACGAAGAAGATGCCGACGACGATGGTGGTGATGATGAAGCAGATGCGGTAACTGTTGATGAAAACGAAGTGATTGCTGCACACGATGATGATGACGACGACGATGATGATGAGGACGACGATGATGATGATGATGATGCTGATGGACACATTGCAACTGCTTCTGCTGGAGATGACGATTATGAAGATGCTGCTGATGAGGATAACGTTGCTGCCGCCGATGAAGATTGCAACGCTGCTGTTGATAACGAAGATGCTGATTCCACTGATGTTCTTGATGATGATGCTGATGCCGTTGCTGAGGATGGTGATCATGATGAAGATAATGATGAAATTGCTGGAAATGGAGATGCTGACTCTACTTATGATTATTATGCTTATGCTGATGATGTTGCTGATGATGATGACGAAGCTGCCGTTGGATCTATTCATGATATAGGTGCTGCTGCTGCAGCTACTTCTGATGAAAACAACGATGACTACAACCACCACCATCGCAGACCCACGGAATCGAGATCTGAGCCAGACGGTGAGGTCTCAGAAAATCCCGGAATTCTCCCGGTGCCCGGCAAACGCAGCCAAGACCCTTACCCAGGAGTCCAACTGTTCGCCCTCCGCTACGAGCGCGTGTGGTGGGGCATCGGAGGCAAGCAACCGGGGCTAGGATGCCGACGCAGCCCCGTCAACCCGCGGGCAGGAGGAGGAGGCGGCGAAGAAGGAGCGGGAAGAGCGGCGACCCAGGAGGTCGCGGGGTCGCAAGAAATCACAAACATGGCGTACGTGATGCGCAAAGAAGCAGGAGAAGCCGGGAGTGGTGGCTACGTGAACGCTACATGAGTGCGCCAGGCAGGTCGATTGCGGTGCAAGCGTGGCTCTCCTTTGGCTGGCGTGTGCCATCGAGTGCCACGATCACCGTTTTTTTCCCACCGTACACCGTCGCGCACAAACAATGAGCCAAGTCGCGTGTACGCGGCCCGGTGACGGCTGTCTCCACCTCCGACTTTACCAACTGACGCCGCACTCGCAGTGGACGCGTCATCATCCCAGGCCCCCCGGCCCTGCACGGCCCGCCCGAGCCGGATTCAGATGTCTCGTTCGGCCACCTTATCACGGTTTGCTTCCGGGCTCGGCACGGCAAATATCCGGTGGAAAACCACTGGTACCATGAGGGCCCCCGCACTGACTCGGCTCGGATTCTGCCAGTGGAAAAGGGGGTATATGAACGTGGATAAAGAGGCCCTTTTAAAGTGGTTCTGCGGTGGTTATCTTCCAGGGACTGTTCTTAGCCATAAGGAGGCACGCTGCTTTCTGGGAGAGTTCTGGACAGCGAGCATCATGTCGCGGTGTTCGTAGCCTATACTGAGGATATTAGTAATAGTACGTGGGTTTTAATGATTCGTTTTTTTATAGTAGTGTTTATTTGTTGATAAATGTTCACTCTGCTATTGATGCGTATTCACTCCATCCACTACAGCTACCGCCGCCACCACCACCACCCCAAATCCAGCATTTAGAACCCATTGAAGGGCGGTGGAGTAACGGTTTGGACAGTTATGTAAACAGCTCGGTTTCAATCTGACACAAGGATCAGCGGACTTTAGATGCTGGCCTCCTGCAGACCAAGATACAAATCTCTGTCGGGAGTCCGAACGTCGCACTCGTGATGTTGTGTCCCAACTTGTTGGCGCGAATACGTTTGGTTTTTGTGCGTTTCCCAAACATCCAATCACGCGGTACTGTTACACGTTGTGTACGGAGTTGGAGAGTGACGTGCTGCGTTGTGACGAGTTGCGCGTTGAACTTCGTGAGAAATGCAAAGCACTGTACGTGAATTTTTGTTTCGCGGGCTACGTGAATGGATTTAGTATGAAGCTGTTAAACGTTGTTGGTGATTCTGGGTGGAAACAACAACGACATCGTTTTTCTCTTTGTTAAGCTCATGATGCATCGTGCGCCAAATCGTGTTACTTTGCATCCTAAGTCCCAAGTGTTGCACGCATGATTTGACGTGTGACCCTGCGAGCACAGGAATGAGTTTTTGCAAGTGTTTTAAATAATAACAACGGACAAACCATCGGTTCAGGTCTGTGTCATTATTTTTCATGGGGGAAAAAGGAGAAACGAACAAAAGGAAGGGAGACGCGGAGTGTTGCTCACCAGTTAGGGCTACGAATTTCCACAAATGGAAAATTTGATCCTTCACAAATGGAATATTTTTTTAAAAACCTCTCTGATGTGTGGTCCCCCGGAACGGAACCATGGAAACATGTAACGCAGGCTCGACGCCCGATTCACCAATACGAAGGAGGAGGCGTCGTCGGAGTGACACCCCACTCTGCCACTCCTGACACAATCATCTGGCTCAGTCACCTCAATGTACAATTACAGCTGTTGCTCTACACCAATATTAGCCATACGATGAGGAAGGGCTATGATGTTGGAACAGAGAACACGATGGTAACGGAAATCATGAAAAATCATAATACAGTCGTGTAAATATAAATGTCGTTAAACCCGCCACCACCCGACACAGCCAATTAGTAAGATTTGTCACGTAAACAGAACATGCCAATTCGTTACTAGTACAGCACACTGGTGTGTTGGAGAGCAAAGCCATAACATTTACAAAATGAGTACAACGTTTCGCCGGTAATTACAACTAGCTTCATCAGGCGACAGCCAGATGAAAAACCCGTCCAGAGCTTTTCTACTTAAGCACATGCTCTCATGCAACGTTGGTCCATATGGTCTGAGAGGCTGGTGCAATATAACAAACATTTTCTTATCCATAGAAATGTGTCTCAATTCAATGTGGATCAGAGGACATCCACAATATTTCAACCATGATATAAACGTCGTGCTGTTAGTGACAGATTATGCGTGCAACACCAGGATAATGGGGGTGCGAAGCATTGTCGCCAGGCCGAGGGAAGCGAGACCGAGACGATTTAGCCACATGGTGCAGAGTGGGGAGGGAAACGTCATGAACAGAGTGTTTAACAGAGGTGAGAGGATGGAGGGCAAGACAGACGATGAGATGGAAAGTGGAGATGAGATGGAAGGAGAGCGAGGATACAATGGAAGGAAAGATGGAGAGGAAGAGTGAAGATGAGGAAGGATACAAAAAGTCACTCGAGTCACAACAAGGGATGGGGGTGATGCCTTCCGCAGACAGGAATGGAGAGGGGAGACATCAGAGGCCGAGCCAATAGCAACGTCGGAACAGCGGCCATGAGAAGTAAGCATGCTGAGCTGAGACATTGGATTAAATTCTTTATTGGACACTGGATACAATACAAATTTTCGGAATAAGACTGTACCGCCTATTGTATGGGAATGATTAAAATATAATTTGATATGTTATGAGGTTACCTACTGCTCTTACAATACACTGTTACCATGAATAAAATATGCATGCGTGGGAACACAACCACTGTACATGGGCACAGTTAGATCACAATTTAAATACTTGTCTCGATCAGCGGTGGCCAATACGTTGATTGCGATCCACGGGTGGATTGCAGAACATCTGTTGTGCATCTCAGGACAAACCAGAATACTACCATAAGCAAACAACTATTTTCAGTACGGATGATAGCAAACAAAAACCCCGACTAAGGATTAATTTAAAGAATTCAGGATAATAACGTTTACCAATATATGGGTGCTAGTACTTAATGTGTTATACTCTACAGGGGTAATTGTTGGTCGTAACTTTTTGGTGGATTAGCAGAGCCCGTTGAGATCCACCAGAGTGGATCGTAGTGCTTAGTGGATTGGCCAACCTCTGCTTTAGAGTGAGACAATTATTATGAAGAGTACCTGAAGGAGGTTGATTGTAATTCCAAAGAAGATTGGTTGTAAACTCAAAACAAAGATCCAATACATTTGAGAGAATGAGATTTAAAAAGCAGTCTGATTTCAATTAATTATCGATATAAATAATTAACCCAGCCGGTTGCACCATACTGCATTTGGTTACTTGAGTGCTAAACGCTTCCTGTCTATCAAAACCGAATATAGTCGACTCTCGATCATCTACGATAGTGCAAAACACACGTAAATTAGACTGTCAAAATATATTAATTGTTTAGCTACGTAGAATGGGCGGGGGTTAAGAACATAGAATGCGTCGTCTGTTTTCATTGCTTCCTAAAGATATTTGGTTTACTTGCCATTGTGTAGTCGATCACAGGGGCACGGAGTCACGGACCCCCAACGAGTGAGGAGCAACCAACAAAATGTGGGCACGTAAAATATTAGATTTTTTTCGCATGCACGGTTAATCTGCGACCTGGATAATCCGCCCGCAGGTTAATCTAATTTAACTGCATATGACGTGTTTTAGAGCAGTACATTCGTCGGTATGAGCAAATCATCCCTTACCACTAATTTGAATTTTAAAATCAAGTTGATCATTTCTTCAATCAGTGGATGCTTGATTAGTGCCTGGAAACGAACAGGCTCTAGGTCTTCCGATCCCAGATCTCGGAACACCTGAACGATGTGTTCCTGAAACGATAAATGGTTTTAAGTAAGCGGTGTAAATGGCTAACACATAAATCACATTAACGGTACACGCTGCACATGTTACAGTAAATCTGGCAAATGTCTGTCGCGGTGTCCTGCAGCTCTTGCGAGAATAGGGATTTTGTTGCCGGTTTAAAATCGTCTGGCCTCGTGCTCGACTCATGATGATACGGGGCGAGGGGTGGGGCTAGATGAGCAGTAGGAGGGCTGGCAGAGGAGCAGGCGCGGCATATGAGCAGGAGACAGGACCAACATAAGAGCGCGCGACGAGGCCACTCACCTTGCATGCGGCACGAGCGATTCAGTAGGTGTGACTATATAAAAATACAGGGGCTCCCCTACTTACGAACACTCGACTTACGAACTTTCAGAGATACGAAGAAACCTGTCCGCATGTCAAGTTGTCTGTTCGGACTGATAGTCGTAAGTTCAACCACCGCGCAATAGATGGCGGAGGTGGCATCTACTTCTGCAGAACGTGAAGAACCAGTGTCATCTACATCTACAGGAGATTACACAACTTTTAAAGCCATTCCCTGTGTTTAGTGTACATGCCGTACAACACGTTTTGAATTGACAGGAGTAAAGTTGGACTTACGAACAGATTGATTTGCGAACAGACCTCTGGAACATAACTCGTTCGTAAGTAGAGGAGTCCCTGTAGGTGGGACTGACGAAGACAGGAGGGGCTACCAGCTCACCGTATGTCTCGGTTGAGCCTCCCAGAAACTCGCTGGCTTCAACTGTAAGTGTCGCGCGGGAGGCACGCTACGGATCCACTCCGTGCATCGTTAACAAGTCCACCACAATCCTAAACACGCATCGCTGACGCCTGGCGAGCGAGTTGTGACGATACCTCGAGGTACGGGTGTGCACGCGTCTCGTTCGGGTGGCTGAAGCGATGGGTGTCCTCAGCAATCGCCCCGGCGTGGTGGAGGACCGTGAGCAAAGCGTCCAGAGAGACAAATTCCAAAGGCCCAGAATCCAGATCCTCTGTCTGTGAGAACCCGGCAACATACAGCTCTCGAACAGGGTAATGCGTGCACATAATTACAGATGCACAGCCCTGTGTCAATCCGCACCCTCAGGGTCATGGGGATTATATCACCGTACTTCACCACTGCTGGATAGTGCGGGTTGGTAGAGTGAGGCAGCATAGAAGTACAATACAATGGATATTTCCGTACTGCCTTCCCTCTGCTCTCCACCATGTAGCCCCGGAGCCTTTAACAACAACAACCTGGTCTGGGCCAGCGATTACAACCTGTTAATGCATAATGGTCACCCGTCCAGCCAACATGTAGGGTCAAACCGCTTAGCTTCCAAGATCTTTCGAGACCAGGAGCATTGCGGGTCGGAGTCTATGCGCATCACACCCACGCAAATACATAGTGCACTGATACATCGGACCGAGCCATTGCGATGGCATCATACTACCTGGGCAGGGGGAGTAGATGGATTCCCAGGCAAAGCCATTGCTGCTCCTGCTGCCGCCGCCACACTCAGTGCTCGATAGAAGCCATCCTGTCCATCTTCACCACAGGCCAAGTACAGCAACATGCTCTTGTAGTCTATCTTCTCCCCTTGTCCGAGCAAGGTAAAGAGGGCCTATACACGCACGCACCACAGGTGACTTGCCAGAACAGATTGCTTGTATGCATGTTGAACTTATTTCGCTGATTGGAGGTGCGGAGGAAGGACAACAATCTGAAGACAAAGGAAGGAAGAGCAATCCAGAGGGCCGCAGAAGCGCATTTGAAAGCACGCGATGCAGTGGCCGTCTTTGTTCGATGGCTAGCCAAAAGCCGCTGGGAAGATAACTGGAGTTCGCGTGATGATTTATGGCTCCTTGACGAGATCAGCAAGGTATTGTGGTTCATTTGTGGCAAGCAGTTCATTTGTGGCAAGCACTTCACTTTATAAAACCTACAGACTGTTACGCAGAGGGCACAGAGCGAATGAGACTACAGGGTTTTAAAGTGAGTTTAAAGCAAAATAGATCAAATGGAAATGGGCAAGACATGTCATGAGAGCAACTGAAGAGAGATGAGAGAGAAAATGAAAGAGGCCAATGGAAGGGAAGAGAAGCAGCGGAATGGATTTCAAACAACACGCTAAATCGTTGAAAAGCACTCGACCTTTGTGCATTCTGCAAAATACTGTCAGCATTCCTGAAGAAGTGCATTGTGACCCTCACAAAGGCTGAGTGCTTTTTACACGTTTCTGTGTTTTTTGGTGTTGTTGTTGTTGTTTGAAACTCGTGGCTTTCTGGCCTGAATGATTGTTCTCTTATGACAGGTTTCTCTCAGTCATTTACAAAAATCTAAGATTTCGGAGGCCACTAATGGACAGAAGCAACTGAGTAAATTACGCAGCAGTGGGAAGTACCAGGATGACAATAATCATTTCATATAATAATGTACCTGTTTGAGATTCCCCAGCCGATCGTATAAGTCACACTTATCTTCTGTTGGCACAGCATCTTTAAACCACAGTTCGATCTGTGGGGCAACACACCAAAACTTTTACTCCTGACATTCAATAATAATATTAGTGTTAAGAGCATATTCTCAGGTAACAATTTAACTTAGCAATACCATAATAATGCAAAGTGTTAGTCTCACGAAATAACTATAACTAGTTTTATTTAACCAGGAAAGGCCCACTGAGCTATATAGCTCTTTTTCAGAAGCGACCTGGCCACAAATGATAGCTCAACGAAGTGATTTATGTGGAAATTTACAGCAGTCAAATACTCCAAACGCATGTTGATTCTAAATGTGGAGGAAAAAAACGGAGGACCCAGAGAAAGATCTACGCGACCACGGGGAGAACATGCAAATTCCAAATAGATAGGCGTCAGGGTCAGGATCGAACCCACGACCTCATGTATACCAGGCAAGGTAGTTAACATCTCGCCACTGTGGCACACACACATCGTAAATACATTTCAATTGTTTTCATGCTACACACACGCAAAACAACTCTGATATATGTGGGAAACGGTATCTCTGCTCACATTACTCCGGGGATACGCTGCACTCTGCCGATCGTTTTGAAGTGGGTGGGGGGGGGGGGAGAGTTGGGCATTTGGAGAGTGTGAAGGAGAAGAGCGGGTCGAGACGTGGCAAGAAGGAGGTGACAACAGATGATCTCATGCCTGGTCGTACTGCTCCTGAGACAGGAAGCCGGAGCTTTCAGGGTCGGCTTTCCGGCAGGCTGCAAGCACCGCGAGCAGCCGGGTGACCGAGGGCAGTGGCCAGGGCCAGGCTGCCAGCACCAGCAGCCTGCGCCAGTCCAACAGCTCTACGCCGCCCTGCACTTCGTGTGCGATCGCCGCAATCTGAACACGCCGCAACCGCAGACAGAATCAGAAAATATTCTTTGGGTCTTACGGTAAAGTCATGTAGATAGAAAAAAATAATAACAATCAAATAATTAAAATGAAAATAAAGTGAATACATTTTGTTTAAAAATATCACGGCGTTTCGATTGCAGCACAAGCAATCGTCTCCTAATGACGATTGCTTGTATTGCGATCGAAACGTGGTGATAGTTTTATTATTATTTTATTCACTTTCTTTTTATTATTTTATTATTGTTATTATTTTTTTCTATCGAAGTAACTTTACCGAAAGACCCAAAGAATATGAATTCCTGCAGTCACGAAAGCTTTAAGTCAAGATTTAGAATCAGAATATGTATTTATACTGGAGGAATCCAATGAGCTATAAAGTTCTTATTCACAAATGTCCAGTAGGGGCGGGTCAGAAAGTTACAACAACAAACAATACAAAAACACGATATGAGTGCAAATTATAGGAAATGCAAGCAATTCACAAACAAATAAATAAAAGTAAAACTTTATCATTTTTATTTTAACAGGTAAAGCCCACTGAGCAATTTGCTTCTTTTTCAGAAGCGACCTGGCCACAAATGTAGAAATTTATAGCACACAACCAGGCACAGCACAAAGGGACGGTGATGCTGCCCAGCGGTAGCGCATTCCCCCCGCTTGCTGTTGAGGAGGTTCGCGGTTCGAAATACAGCGGCCACCCTGATTAATGCTGCGAGTGTAATAACCGTCGTGATACTACGGGGCCATCTGCTTCACAGTGGGCATTAAAAATTCCGTCATATCGTCCGCAAAAGTAGGCCATTGCAGGTGTCATGCTCCAAATTGATCAAATATAAAAAAAAATACCCACAAATTATATCATTGGAATTTACATCTTGGCAGGATCCTCCTAAAATAGAGTATTTGAGACTCGGCGAGGCTCTCCTAGGGTAAGGCAAGTGAAACAATATCTTGATAGCGAACGTCGATTATTGTCGTCATCTTTACATGCCATCTCTTGCAGCATGGCAGAGGCAAAGCTCAACAAGTGTATGAATAAATACATAAATTAATACACTTTACTGCATTGCTCTTGTCATTTGGCTTCATCTAAACATATCAAGTCCTCAGAGCTGGCACAGAACCAAACTGAATGTAATTGGCTTTTTGTGCAGCCTTTGGTGGCTGGGCTGAGACCATCAACTCTATAGAATTGAGAATCCGGTTTAATCACAGGCAGATGAAACCAAGAGTCGAACCCAGGAACTCTCAACGGTCCCAGCCACTCGGCCACATCCACAACTTGTATATATATCGTGAGAGTCTGAATGTGACCATGTCTCGACCCACCTGTGTGCGCGACATGTTTAGCCAGGCCGCTGGCAGACATTCACTCCCTGTACCACCAGAACCCAGATCATGCAGGAAGTCGATGAAATCTAAAGTGGAAATATATCCTGTACCAAAAGATGGGGTTCGTTGTTAGGATTAATATTTATAGCTACATATGCATGAGAGTTAACGTGACAGATGGTGTATCTATATCTTCCAAAGGCCTACCCGTCTTCATATATTCACAAGTTGGTCAACTGCACTCATAATAGATTCTCATCACCCGATTTACCATCACTGACCACCAAAATTCACAATACATTTTCCAGTGTATTTATGGAGCCCCCCACGATTGTTACATTGCAGGACCCCGTGAGAGATTTTTAGGACTTGGGGAGACCTTTACCCAGCAGTGGATCAATCAAGCCTGATGATGAATCACGATGATGATAACTTAAAATGTTCGAACTCCAGTCTGCTTTAGTTTGAGACGTGGTCAGAAGGTTTGTTCCAGTGAGGGTTCAGGCAGTGGCGCAACTATTGAGTATGCAGGTGGTGCAACTGCATCAGGGCCCACAGACTTCAGGAGCCTAGGTGCCGGGCCACGAAGAGGGGTGGGGGGGAAGGTGGACAGTGGGGTGGCCCCATTTCATTCCTTGCCCCACAGGCCATGCCAATCATGCTACAGACTGTAGGAGCAAGTGCACACACATACACGGCATACACGGTGAGCAAGCAGCACCTACCTGCAGGTGCAGCCTCTAGCAGGTGCCGATGGAAGGACATCAGCTGCTCCACAGTGAAGTAATGGGGGTGGAGAGGCTCGGAGGGCTGCGGCGGGGCGGGGGGTGGAGGCTCCTCGTACATAAGCGCCTCTGTGCTTAGGTAGAAGGAGTCCTGCTGCAGCACCAGCTCGGGCTGCAACGGAGTCCCCGATTCCACGGCGCCTTGAATCACATCCAGCAGCTGCTCAATGCTGGACAAGTGCGGCACACATATTTCCGCGTCATCGCGCACAGCGCATCCGTTACCACCACGCGTGTCGAGAAACGTCCAGACTCTCACAGAGAGAGACAACGATCCCCCGTATAGCTTACACAGACTCTAAGCCGCCGGACCACCATTAGCGAGAAACATAATGCCATATGGCACACAAGCGGGTGGTGTGGCCAGGACCACACCTGAGTGCCTTTGTCCCCCCCAATGCTGATGTAGCTATGTCTGGTTCAGTTAATCGCCACTGATATTAACTGCGGCCGGGAACTGACCTCGGGTCGCCGGTGTCGTATAGCACTGTGGGTTGACTTTCATAGCCGCTCGCTAACGGACGCCTGCCGCCAAAAGCCTATGCAGGCCGCAGGAGGACTCATTGTCTTGTGGCTGGTACAACACCTGTGCATCTCGGCGCGGTAGCGTTGGCCCAGCGAGTCCTGCATGGCCTGGTACGCCTCCGCACTCGCCGCGCGGAGGGCCCCGATTGCCGAGAGAGCTTGCTCCTTCACCGTGTCCAGTCGCTGTCTCAGGCAGGTTTCTATAGGCCCCGTACACAAGGGCAGAGACCACAACTCGCTTGTGTTATGCTCCAAAGCATTTCGTGAAAGCAATACAATTCGCACACAAAAGTTACTCTTCTCTGACCACCTCAGGATAGTTATTAGTTTTACGGTTATTAACGTCACAAATAATGCCATTGTCTGTATAGTTTTCATAGCGATGTCTTGGAATTAAAGCTGGGCTGTAATCCAATTATTTAAGTAATCAGATGGGCCAACTGCAGCTCCCTTGCCACAGTGAGGTTGCTGTGGGAATCCGGGCTGAGCCCGCTGGCTTATTTCGTGAACCGGAATGGCCTTCTTCTTAGTAGCTAAGGCAATGAGCAATGAGCTTTAAAAAGTTATTGTGGTCAAGTGGCGTAGCGTTCAAGTGTGCAGGTGGTGCAACTGCACCAGGGCCCACAGGACAGAGGTTCCCAGGTTCCCGGCTACGAAGAGCGGTGGGCGGGGCGGGGATTGGACTGGGGCTCCCCATTTTACTGGACATCTGTGAAAAAGAGCTCCATAGCTCATCTGATTCCTCCAGTCTAAATAGAGATTCTGAATAATTTCATTCCTTGCACTAAGGGGCCCATGCCTACAACACAAGGCCACTGTTGTGGTCCCTACAATCAATGCAATGTGAATGTGCCCCTCACAGTGCAACGCTCGTGGGGCAGTATTGCTGTGCTTCAAGCCTCACCCTCATGCTTTAAGGCACAAGCATGCTCCTGATGCATCTTGGCTTTTCGCTGCTTCTCTGCCACCACTTCAGGATTCTCTTCCTCCACTTGCATTGGCACACTGGGGCTGGGCGTTCCTGCACTCCTCAAGTACAAGTTTGGAACAACATCAATTCACTTATAATAGTTATAAAGTAAATAAATACATGCCATAGCCCTTTGTCAATCCACTGCTGGATGAGGGCCTATTCATACCATGCGGGTCATGAGAGCGTTTTTTGACCATGCATCACCACACTAGCCAGTACGAGTCGGTAAAGTTGGTGTCCAGGACTAGTCGAGATATCGCTCACCACTGATGTTAGCCGTGGCAGGGGATACAACCAAGGTGTACACACAGGTTTATAGCACAGAGCAATAACCACTGTGCCACTGCACCAGTTGAAGACATTTTCATTGATAGATTATAGCTTTCTTGTACTTACCGTCTTGGAAAACTTAATAATGTAAAAAAATCCACCTCTGTATAGAAACGCAAGAAGAGGTTTCCTCCCTCCTGGTAGAATCTAATTATCCCCACTGGCACTTCTCACAACACCACGCATGTAAAATACCGGTGCCTTTCAGAACGGTTCTCATTGCTGTGCAACGATGTTTCCGCAGAGAGGAGATGGCACTGAGCACGCATGATGGGTCGCTGCAGGACGAAGAGGTTTTATACCGGCAACTTCTTTTTATATGATCACGTCTAGCTTAACGATCTATATATGAATCCACAGCAATGCATAATCTTTATTCGACTCAGCATAAGGGTGTAAAAGAGAATAATTAACATTATCCACCCATTTTTAGTATAGTTAGAGCTTCTCAAAATGATGATCTTACCTTTTTTTTTCCCAGATCCTTTTGGTTCCTTCTTCTTGACATTCTTAGAACCTTTTGCTTTGCCAGAGGTTGGTTTTCGACTTCCAGATGCTGCCCTTTCTCCATCTTTTTGTTCATCGTCTCTCCCATTCTGCTCCAACACTGCCAGCTCCTCAGAAACCTTCCACAGGCATCCCGAGCAGCAGCAAAACAACGTAATATTAATATGGGACCTATGTATACGGAAACAGCCTCACAAAATATTGTGTTTTTGGTGTATGCCACATGTTGTTTAGCATGATGTCGTAATGACAGGAGCTAGACAAGTAGGGCCTGGACCTCGGTGGAATATAAGAGGGCCGGTGAACTGGTTATAGCTCCAGTCTTGTAAGTATGTTGAACTTCGTATGCATGTTGAACATCCTTCGCAACGTACATAGCCAATCGTGCTAATCGGACATGTCATCATGTCGAACAACACGCGGTACGACCCAAGAACACATCAGAGAGCTATGCAGCGCAATGCCTTTGTCATGCGGTCCGTCGTACCATCAGGGCGGCCACAGCCAGCGCCGCTTGCGAGGCCTCTTGGATGATCTCCTGGGAGGCGTGCGACGTGGGCGATTCTGACGACTGCGCATCGCTCTTGTCGCGCCCGCCCCTGACGCGCGACGCTCTCTCTCGGCTGCTCGGGCTGCCGGGCCCGGTGACCGTCGCGTCCGCCCCCGACTTCCCGGGGGCGGCACGCGACGCTTTCTCCTCGTCTGCTGCCGGAGCCGGCGGGGGCGGCGGAAGCAGGGGGAGGCGGAATGCCTCGCGCTCCCCTCCCAGCCCACCGGCTCCCACCCGGCCCTGAATGCCCACGTAGTAGTCCCGCAAGAACAAAACCGCGTCCTGCCAGCGCTCCATTTCCACCTGAACGCGACGCAATGCCGCACATTGTACGTCAGTGTATGTTACCCGCAAGTACAACTTTCCAGCCTGCTCTCATGCAAATCTTTATTGAACCACTTTGTGCAGATCCGCATTCAATAACTACCCGAGGTATACACCAAATTTGGCAAATTTGTAAAGTTACATACAAATTAACTTGATTAGAATCTACTGTCTGAGTCAATCATCACCCCCGACTGCGAAAAATAATCAGGACCCTCCTGAAAAAGTCATGAGACTAGTGAGGCTTTCCTGGGTAAACAAGCGGAATAACAATGCTATTCTACTGTGCTTTGCATATGAGTCCCTCCTACAGATTGTTTAAATAGTTGTAGATGCAAAAACAACACCAATTTGTGTGAGGAATAACTTTTTAAAAAAAATATTGCTTCTTGTACTCGAATTGTACATTTTGTGGGTTTACTGTTGTGGTGGTAGGTTTAACGACACATTTACGCGATCTAACCCAAAAACCTCGATTATGCATTTATTCTTACCTGCTACGACATATGGATCACAAACGTCGGCACTGACAAGCACGTAGAACAAAAGGTGGAAAGTATGTGTGCTTGGAATTACACCGAGAGACAGAATGAGGAATACGAGGATCAGAAATCATACGCATGTGAGATAAATCTTATTGCTAATTGAGAGCAGTATTTGGGCTTGGGCAAGACAATTCAATGGGAGGGATGACGGGCAGTGGTGGAGACTAACGATTGAGTGGCAGCCAAAGGAGGGGACACGCCCGAGAGGCCATCCGCCGCGCGAGATGGAGCGATAAAATCAAATCGTGTTACAGGGACGAGATGGATTGCTGCGAAGCGAGACTGGCAAAGATGGCAACGGCTTTGCCAGGCCTTCATCCGGCAGTGGCTAGACGATGGCTGTTGACGATAATGACAGTGGTGTATTGTTGCTGAAAAACGTGTGCACAACACACCTGATAATTCCAATAATTATGGCTGATGACGACAATTGCACGTGACTAATATACATGAAAATATGCTGCATGCGCTCACGCACACAGCAAATAGACAAATTACAAAGGACTGTTGTCCCTTATTGTCTGTGCGATCAGTCGACTCTTGATTGTCCAGAGTAATCGGTGGGCAGGGTGGTCAAGGTAAAACACCCATAAATTAGGCTATAAAACGTACGCAATGTTTACAGATTGTGCTGTCTGTGTTGATTGCTTCTGAACATAATCAACGTTTGCAGGTCTCATGACCAATGGGTCACTAACCCTCGACGAATGAGGAGCAGCTGATATGCTGATAATTAAACCAGTAGCACGCAAGGAAATATATTGTATTTAGTTTTACACAAGCAAAGTTAATCTGCATCTTAGATTAATCCGCCCACAGATCTTATCTTACATAGATTTACATAGCGCCTTTTTTTAAGGCGCTTTACAACAATTATAAAATAGTACACAAGATAGTAGTGGTTTAAAGAAAGTGGGATTGTTATTAAAAGTGGTCGTCCAGTTATGGTGACAGCTAGGAGGACAGAAGGGAGGTGTTAAGAAGGGGGTTGAGTAGGGATAGGGGTTGCGGTAGTGATAGGGGTTGGGATAGTGATAGGGGTTGGGGTAGTGATAGGGATTGGGGTTGGGATAGTGATAGGGAGGGGTAGTGATGGGGGTTGTGGTAGTGATAGGGGTTGTGGTAGTGATAGGGATTGGGCTAGTGATAGGGGTTGGGATAGTGATAGGGAGGGGTAGTGATAGGGGTTGGGATAGTGATAGGGATTGGGATAGTGATAGGGGTTGGGGTAGTGATAGGGATTGGGGTAGTGATAGGGGTTGGGATAGTGATAGGGAGGGGTAGTGATGGGGGTTGTGGTAGTGATAGGGGTTGAGGTGTTGATAGCGGTTGGGGTAGGTCACAGCTAGGTGGCCGGGCCAGGGAGTAGCAGTAGCAGGATGGGCTAGGGAGGAGTGATGGGGGTTGTTTTAAGAGAGGAACAGAAGCGGGTGAGTGAAGGTGATAGTGTTATGTGCTGCAGTGGGAGTTCGTAGTTGGTGCATGGCGAGGGAGGCACAGAGATGGACAGTCGAGATGGGGGGGCCGTAGAGGACGTGATGGGATAACAGCGCAGCGGTGGCTGTGGTGGCGAACCTGCATGAGTGTGATGTAGTGGTTGGCGAATGCAGCGAGCCGTGCATTGAGCCAGCCGTCGTGCATCACCGACAGCAGCTCCTTCTCCGCCTCCTCCTTCCGCCCATCAGTGATGTCCCATAACTTCTCCTTCAAATCCTACACGAGTCGATCACGTTTACACGCACATGCATTAACTCAAAACACTGCCAGGCCAACGTTTTTATAAAAAAATAAAACACAATGTGGTCATCTGCGGTAATATTAACATCGCGTGAAAAGATTATCAAACCTATGACAAAATCACACGGAATGCGCCCAATTTTGTCAGATCTTGAATGTTAAGCAGCGTTGAGTCTGGTTAGTACTTAGATGGGCGACCATCTGCTGTGGGGCTGTGGTGTGTAGCGGAAGGCAGTGTAGCAAAATCCATTGTTGTACTGTACTTTCTATGCTCCCTCGTCTATTCTCTCCGCCTTCACCAATACGCACTGAACAGCATGGCGAAGTAGGGTCAAACAGGCCCCATGAATCCGACGGCATGGGGAGGCACCTCATCCAATAGTGGATCGGCAAAAGGGCAATACATATATTATTGATATTGTAAAAACCGATAACAACAGACCACTCACCTGACATGGTGTGCGTGCAGGCGCGGACAGTTAGGAAGTAAATCAAGGCATCTGATTGGTGTGGTAAGGCCTGAAAGATTGGCTGGAGGCCGAAATTTAAGTGATTGAAGAAGAAATACAAACGTAGAAGGTGGGAAACGAGGGTTGACTGACGGGGGAACGGTTGACAACCGTTGGAGGAGGACGGGGATTGGCTGAGGGAAATAGGGTGAGCAAACTTTCGAGAAAGGGGGCTCGAGGGATATAAAAGGGGATAGCACAAGGGGAAGGGTTGGTTGGAGAGAAGACGAAGTTCGGGCTTCAAGAAGAGTGTTCGTGTCCACAATCAAGGCTCTTAGTAAAACGAAGAACGTGTGTCGGTGGTCGTTGCAATATTGTTTTGTTGTAAACATTTAGGAGTATACTTCTTGACATGGCCCAACCCTGGATGATCGCGGTGTTTGGAGGCGTCCTACCTGTGCGCGCTGATGCATCTCTGCTCGTGTGTCATCATCGCCCCTCAGGTAACCTGGAAGCTCATTCAGCTCAATCTGCCAGCGCTGTACAAACTCCTGCTTGTGGTCGGGTCTCCGCAGAAACTCCACAAACTCCTGCCTGCACACGATTGCGTGCAGAAAACAGCGTAAGCCACATGACACGATGTAAAGATGCCTCTCACTTTAAGCACCATCATCATCAATGCCAACCGTGATCTATCCACTGTCGAATGAAGCCCTCCCCCAAGCCATCGCCATCTCTCCTGTGTAGCGGGATGCAACGATTCACCTAGTCCCTGCACACGACTCAATTTCAAGCATGGTGTTGAATAACCCCCCATGGCATGGAGAGGTCCTCATCCAGCAGTGGTTCAACAAGGGACTCTACATGGACATGTACACATAAAACAAAAATATTAATTACATGAAAGTGAAACCAAAAGTGAGATTCTACTCTTGCGTATAGCAATATGTTCAGGAGCTAACTGCCGACGTCGAGGTATGCTAGCCACGAGAGGGCTTCAGTAGAGATGTTGCGTAGTGTTGCTATTCCTCCTCCATTGAAGGAGCGCAGACTACAGTGGTTTACTACGTGGTCCGTAGTTTGGGTTGCATGGCCACAGTCGCACTACTGTGGCACGTGCCTTTAATGTCCATCTTTGTAGATGTGTGGATCAGCCTGTTGATGGTCTGATGTGATTGATGGTGAGACCAATATCTTCGAGGAGGAATGATCAAAGCCAGGAGGTGTGAGGTTTGCGTCGGGAGCGAGGTGTGAGACTGACCGATTTGACGCCGCTTCCTTTTTGCCAAAATGCATCGTGGGTGCGTGGAAGTGCAGAGACACACCTGATATCGTAAAGATGGTGCACGATGGCTTCTCTTTCCCGCCTTAAATTGTGAAACACCGTTTTGCAGTTGGAAATGTACGTCCGCTCCATGTTGTCCCAAAAACCACCAAGGTAAGTGGCCATTTCCTACACAAAGGAAGGGCGGACATTGGTGCATGTGAAGCACTGTATGGAGTGTTGCCGCTAGACATAAGATAAACCAAGTAAAAGTTTAGGGCCCAAAGCGTTAATTGGTCCACCCTAATTTATTTAATGAAATAAATTAGGGTGGACCAATTATCCTTATAAAAAAATATAAAAACCGCTCATAATGCTAACGACAATATTGAAAAATAATTATTGCAATTAAATTATTACCTTATTTATTTTGAACAATTGTGATATATTTACGTGGCTTGTCCATTGTATAATGTTTTTAGTCAGACGACGCACCCAAAAATAACTTCTGCTTCGGGACAGACGACGCACCCAGGGGCCTCCGCTTACTGTATGTATGTGTAGTGACATAGAATTGGTCACGTAGCAGCATAGCGCTGGCTGCTGGTAGGGAAGAAGATCTGCAGCTTACAGCAGCCCTGACTGACAGCAGGCCACGTGATAGACCAGAGAGGGATCTTGGGGAATGGTTACGGAAGGGGCACATCTAGAACCCACTAGTAGGTTCCAGAAGGGGGCGTGGCCAGGGGCGGAGCCAGACCACGCTGACAGTATAAGAGGGGCTCCAGGAGGGGACCTCGGGGCTGTCGTTTGAAGTAGGATCCTGTCGTGCTGCTGGAAGTCTTCGCCGTCATTGCCGTCTTCACCATCTTGGCATCGCTAGTCAGGAAGTCTACCAGCTGTCCTGACTGGGAACTGTAGTTACTAAGTGTTACTGTCAGGCCGTGTTAATAAACAGAGTGCCTCCTACTCTTAGTGTCTCTGAGTCACTACATATGTATGGTGAACTTCTTTTGCACTGTACGTAACCGACCGTGCTAACCGGAGGTGCAGACTGTAGGTAGCATGGCGTTACAAATCCCGTATGTTTACAAATTATTTCCCGTTCGCAAACGCTTCCCCTTGGCTCTAGACGTAATGTGTTGATAACAATGTATCCAGATACCAGAGTCAGGGGCTGGTCCACATACTCCCACTCAGAGCTCCCAGGTGTAGGGCCTGGAGGGACGGTCTCGACCGCGATGGGCTCCGGAATGGCTTGCTCCTTCCCGGCACCCTTCGCTTTGCCTAAACGTTCGCGTGGCATAGTTTAACAAGTCAGACACAGATTAAGCTCAAGACAAACGTACGATGTAACTGGTATTAGCCAAACATCCCAATGCTGAAAGATTGCCATTACACACATCAGCAGCAACATCGCCCCCTACTGCTAAAACTTGGCAGGACCGTCCAGAAAAAAATTTGGGACTGTCTTTCCTGGGTAAATAACCGCAATCGAAATAATAAAACAATACATGTATTTATAATAATCACGTTTATCAGCCGTAATCAAACCACTGCTGGAATAAGGCCTTCTCAAACCGTCGCCATCTGTCATGGTCCTGCACTGCAACAATCCACATAGCACCGGCACAACAGCTGATTTCATCTCTCGATGTCTCCTATGGACGTAATCTCAGTCGAAAAGGGGTGAAGAGGAGGCGCGGTGGTTTGCGCACTGCGCTAGGAAATCCTACAACCTGAGTTCAATTCCTAGCCATGGCTAACACTGGTGGGGAGTGATATCAGATCCGGATCTTGGGGTACTCCCCTTCATGTCTTAGTAGGGGCGCCACGGCGGTGAGATGTTAACTACCTCACCTGGCATACAGGAGGTCGTGGGTTTGATCTCCACCCTGATGCCTATATATTTGGAGTTTGTATGTCTCTCTCCCCGTGGACGCGTGGATCCTTCTCCAGGTCCTCCGGTTTTTCCCTTTCAAATTCATGAACGTGCGTTTAGGAGTATTTGGCTGCTATACATTTCCACGTGGTAAGCCACTTTGTTGAGCGATTATTTGTGGCCAGATCGCTTTTGAAAAAAGAGCTACATAGCTCAGTGGGTCTTACCTGGCAAAATAAAAATAGTTTCATAATTTATAAATAAAAAAATATTTCATAATTTATAAATATTTGCTTTAATATACATAGTGTATCAATGAGAAAACAAAGAACTCCCATGACAGATTCGGCGTGGGGAGGCCTTCATTGGTAAAGCGAAGGAACAGCACCCACCAGAACGAGGGGGAGATTTCCCTTTCTTCTCCTTGCTCTTCGCCCGTTCCTTCTTGTCCTCTGATGCCGGGGACTTTGATGTTCTTCTTCGTGAGCCTGCAAAGTCATTGAGTAGTCCAAACCATCGCTTCCGTATTTACAAATTCACGAGCAATGTTCATAATTTACCAGCCTGTGTCAGACTAAACAAAGGATCCATTTGCACGAAATATATCTTCATCGTGACCTTGCCCGTGCACGTGTTTCGTAAGGATCTGGCGTTAAGTGCGATGACGTCACCCCGGCGTCACACAGCCGTAAAGGTGTGTGAGATACTGCACATGACGGACAAACACTTGCACATTATATGAGAGTAATGATTGTTTGAATGTCACCCAACATGTCACTACAGTGATCAGGGAGCGCTTGTCCGCATTAAGCCCCTGAGCTACAAGGCATCAGGAGGCAATGGCTACACTGAACTGATTATTCCTTACAAGGATGAGTGCATTATGCATAAGGTTGTACAATTTTCCTGCTGCTATCTAAAATACTATGACCATAATTTTGACTCTTGAGTTGGCGACCTAAAACAAGACTCAAAATTATGCTCGCTATATGATGATGTCACGTGATACGCAAGGTATGATGGGAGGATCAATCCGATGGTCACAAAGCTATATTTTCCAGTCACATACGCTCTATACATCAAAATGGTACATAAGGCAATTGGGGGGTAACTATTGTTTTAAACTTTGCACGGCACACCTTTTGACAGATTACAACGAATTTCCGTACATTACAAAGCACACGTAAACATATTTCAGCGCTATAAGTGAATGTGGGCGTTGAAGGGAGCTGTGCAGTTGTACAAGGGAAGATGATGACAGCTCTGCCACCCACCTTTAGGAGATCGGCCTGGAGAGGCGCCCTTCTGCTGGGAGCCGATGGTTGGTGTGCTTGGTACTTCCCCAAGCATGGTAGGAATCTCTTCGTCTTGTGGTTGGTCCATGTCGACCATAGGAGGCTGTTGGATAATGGCTGCTGTGTTATCCTCCAACAAAGGCTCCTCTATGCACACAATCAGGCAGAAGGATTTCAAAAAGGTCGTCAAGATCCAATAATTAATTGAACCATTAATATAAATTCTCAAGCTCACGGTACATGTGTAGTGTTCAACACTACACACTAAACACTCTGGACTGGGAGGCAACACTTTTTATTTAACAACTTCCCTAGCGGGTAACATTGAACGTAACTCGGGTTCTCTAGTAGGTGATGTGGCTCACTACGTGAGTAGCGAGTTAACTCCAGACGAAGACCCGGAGACGACGAGACGCGGGACCCAGGCTTGATTCCACAGACGAGCCAAGAACACTCTCAGGACTGCCCCTTGATGCTCCTGGGCGTGGCCTCGCTCTGTCTTCGGCCACGCCCCCTTCGAGACCTTTCCCGAAGGATCCCGACCCAGCATCACGTGCCCCACTGAGGCTACCACGTCCTCCCTTGCCCTCTCTCAGGCCATCACAAGGACTATGCCCCTTAGGTCTGGCTGACATGCCGTACTTACTCTGGCGCTAGAGACGCTCCAGACGTACAGTTGCACTACTGTAACAGTAGCTGGCGCGAACACCCGAGTGACACCATTTATATCACTACACATGTATCGAATCCCAGGCAGGCCTTGCTTTTCAGAATGAAGTTCTTCTTTCCAAATTTTGTTGCCGGTCAACCTTTAATAATTGCAAGAAATATACGGTGTGTACATTATTGTGTTTTCCTGTTGTGTTCCTCCGCTAGTTTCTGTGTGCTTTTTGTGAGTACATCGTTTTAGTTTTGCACGTATTTCTATTGAGTCCAACTGTAAAAGCAATTTTTGTTCAAATAACCTCTTCAAACATTTCCTGCAGTTCATTCTTTCATAATATTTTGAATTCTCAGCAAAACTTGTTGTACCTGCCTTTTGTCTTACTCATATTTCCCTAAATCCAAATGTTCTGTTTACACACTGTTTAATGTGGGGGGGAGGGGGGAGACACACACGGAGATCAGGGTATAATTTGCGTGGTCTCAGCCATGCAGTCACAATGCAAAGAATTGAAAGCGATGCTGCCTCTGATGATCTGTGTAAATCAACGGGCTTATGCAAATCCACTGATGGGAATTTGTATTACCTTTGGGCTTACTGATTTGCTGCTTGTGCAGAAGGGTTTGTTCAAAGATCCGCTTCATTCCCTGGTACAACAAGTCCGGATCTGTCTGGGCACACACGCTTTGCAGGACTCCGTGCCTAGGCCCAAACCACTGCTCCAGGTCAGGCCAGTGTTTTTCAAATCCTACCAGCCTACATGCACATAACACGCGCACAAATATTAAAACACGTGTCGTCTTCGCAATGGCTAGTGCGACAAACATTTCAAGAGCTTTCTTTTTCTTTCAGTGTCAGTAAACAATATTTTCTCCACAATACATGTTTTTTTGGGGTTTAATCGAGTCAATATAAACGTGCCGTTAAACCCGCCACCACCCGACACATCCAATTAGTAAGGTAAGATTGTAAATCTGAGTACACAAATTGGAAATATTGTAGATTTGCTCTCCAACACACCAGTGTGCTGTACTAATAACGAATTGGCATGTTCTGTTTGCGTAACAAACTTTATTAATTGGCTGTGCCAGGTGGTGGCGGGTTTAACGATACATTTATATTTACGTGATCGTGCTATCAGTGTCATGCAATAGAGGACGAGAATTCACTTGAATCCCTCACAGAGCAGCACGACCCCTTCGCAGTCAACGGAAGCAGATATCACAGAGCTACCTCTGAGATCCCTTCAAGTGGTTTCTGGTCCACACAGCAGATAGCAGAACTTTTAAACTCGCTCTGCCATTGAGGGTTAACATTTCGTCGCACAACTGTTTTAACTGATGTTCGTTTAATTCTTCGAGATGGAATTTACCCAAATGAAGTAGAAAATTCAATTTCATCGTGGATCTTTGTGCAATCTTTCATGACCAGGATGACATCATCAACTCAATACACTTGAGAACCTGGCTTAATCAAAAGCGGCTGTCTGGGTTCAAACCCAGGATCTCAGCGGTGTGCTCTGATCTCTAAGCCACCCGGCCACCTGTCATTCAGATGGACATTATGCATGAGCAAGTAAGTAACGAGACAAAAGCTTATAGATTGAGGAAACAACACCTTGTGACTGACCATAGGCAGACAAGAAGAATAAATAAGGGTGCTACGGCGAGGCTAGGGTGGTGCCAGGACTAAGTGCTGGCAAGCGTTACTTGTTGGGAAGTTGATGCAGGTCCACCTCCGCTCCGTTATCAACAGCCTCGGCACCTGCAAGATAAACTGCACTTAACAAATGCTCTCAGTGCTCTCTTAGGTGTGTTTTGTTTTTCCGGGTCGCTCTGCGTGACGTACGACATTTCGCTCGACGTGCTGGGAGAGTTTCATCAGCAACTGAACACTTCATTCCGAAAAAAAACTCGTAACACACATCGGAGAGCTACATAGCAACAACCGCAAAAGCCTATGTGGAAGTACATACGCTCATTACAAGCCACACATTCCTTGAATATACTTTTTCATTGGCCAATAATGAAGAGGCAGATCGAAGCACGTTAGAGTGATTTAGGAAAACTGAACGTTTCGATGAGAAACAACATACCAATGTGCCTAGCGGAGAACGTTTTTAATCACTCTGTATTATCCGCTATGATGTACGGATCAGAAATGTGGCAAAGAAAATGGAACAAAAGCCGAAATGTGCACAAACGAGCAGAGAGAGGTGCACATTTGGAATTCAATTGATAGACAGGAAGTGGAGCACATGGCTTAGAGAATATAAGCAGGTTACAAACATTTCATTAACTGTTAAGAAAAATGAAGCGGGCTTGGGCAGGATACATTGCTATAGCACGGATGATGGCCAGAGTTACGAGGGACACATGCCTCAGAGGACATGAACAATGCACTGTGGAGATGGAGCGACAACATCAGCTCATGTGCAGTTGCTTATATGCATTCCTGCATTGTGAGACCCTGATAGTGTCGGCGATGCCTTTATCCAGCAGTGGATAGGTCATGGTTGATGATGATGAAGGGTATAACGCTGGAAATACATAGAGTTTATTGCATGCTAGAGATGGTGATGGCTTTGGGAGGAAGCCATCATCCAGCAGTGGATAGATCATGGCATCTGATGAAGTGCTACAGCTCTGGGCATGAATGAAGTGATGTGTACGACTACGGATACTATTTTTATTTCAGCAGGCAAGGTCTGCTGAATTATATAGTTCTTTTTCAGAAGCGACATAGCCACAAGTGATAGCTCAACGAAGTGGCTAATGTGGATAATTATAAGAGTCAAATACTCCAAACGTATGTTGATTCTAAATGTGGAGGTAAAAACCAGAAGAGAAGGAGAAAAATATAGGCGACCACGGGGAGAACATGCATACTCCAAATATACAGGCGTCAGGATTTGGGATCGAACCCAAGATATCCTGTATACCAGGCCACTGTGTGTGCGCGCGTAAGTCCTCACAAGACGTACTCTCAGCTCTCTCGAACGCAGCGCTGTCGGACAGCGTGAGGACCAGAGCCAGGTCCAGAGCGGGTGGAGGAGGTGGCGCTTTGGGTGGGGCAAAGGGGTCCTGCACCAGCAGTGACACCTTTCCGCTAGCGGTGCCGCTACCCTGCTGCCCCATTTCCTTCGAGTTTCCTTCCTCGAGGTCTTCATTCCATCCAGTGAGGGCCTTCTCCAACAGCTTAGCCTGTTGCACTGTCGCAGGAAAGCCGTCTAGTATCCAGCCCGTCTGCTCCGGCAATTCCCTGGACCACCAACACACGGATACACACAGCTCTGGGTGCGTCTTACCAAAGTTAAGCAATGCCTTATACAGGGATAAAATCAAAACGGTGTTTCATTGTTTTTATGCCATTAAACCAGACCAAGAAATGTAAAAAAATAAATCTAATAGGATTAATACATTTCAATACACTTCAGGATTTGTTTATAGCGTCTAAATGTAAGACAAAATAGTGGAACGTGCATCATAAAGAAAAAGGAAGCAAATACAGAAGAGCTTGCTTCTCTTTTCAGCGATGACAATGGGGCGCAATGAGCAGGTCCAAATACCCACACATTTCACTTCTGTCATCCACATAAATAAGCGTCAATAAACATGGGAAATAGGATAGATTTCCTGCCACTTTGGGATTATTATGCATCTCATCTGTGCTTTGGAGGGTGAGTGGAGCACGTCATTCATCCTATTATGGCATTCATCCTGTTAACTGCACCAAAGTACGGATAATAATCTAGCATTATTATTTTCTGGCCCCATGCTCGACTCATGATACAGGCAAAGGGTAGTGCTACCCCGAGTAGTGGGCAGTGTTGGCTAATAAGTGGGTGAGACCATAAGCAGTAGGCAGGGCCAATGCAGAGAGAGGGAAGGTTTGCCAGCTCACCATGAGTCCTGGCTGAGTCTCCTAGAAATGTGACGTGATTGGGCGACGTGAATGCACAGTGGCAGTCAGTGAGACTGCCCCACAAACCTCAACGCCTGAAGCACAAGAAATACGAGAAGCTGGTCAGGGACCACGCCTCCCTGCGCCAGAACTTCAGAAGCTTGTCTTCCCAGCTCCACGCTGCACGGCAGCTACGTCAGCCACAACAACGGCAACCACAGCAACAATTCTCCCTGGGCATAGGTGGTGGCACCACAATGATAGCCGCCCCTGACTTGCCAAATTTCTGGGGTGAACATGAGACTTTTTTTTAAACACAGTTGCTAAGCACAGGACCCAAAGGCCCAAAACCTCAAGCAGCCAGCAACAAACTGGCACATTCGAAGTTATATTAGATAAGGGTGTAACACATTTCTTATATTGAATATGGTTATTATGAGAGCATGGAAAAATGGATGACAGTCCAAAGTGGAGGAGCAGAGTTGGGGAAGTCTGGGTGATTGAACACGGTACAGATGAGCCAAAAAAAGTCAGTGTCTGGTAGACGCAATCCTCAACACGGGTGGAGGAATCAATGAGCCACGGTGATGGGAACAGTAACAGTGTGGTGGTAGCGATAGAAGAGTGATAAGGAGGCGACAGGCCGAGAGTGAGCGGGTGACAGGAGTGCATCAGTGAGGGCTGGTAATTGGAGAGTGCTGGCCCCCGCAGTTATTGCTACAGAAGGAAACTGCATCTCAGCTGGACCCAAAGAGTTACCAACGTAGAAGTAAGAAAAAGGTTGTACAATGAAGAAGACCTGATGCAGGCAGTGATGAGAAGGAAACTGGCACTGTTTGGACACATGTAGGATGGACAACAGGAAAATTAAGTGTATTGTTCGTAAAATAAGATGGAACAGGAAATAGAGGAAGACCTAACAGAATGGCTTGCGACATAAGAGATTCACGCCAGAAAAATGTGCACTACTTGAGCATATTGGCACAAGACAAAGGAAAGTGGAAACAAATGACGAAATGTGCAGTAGACACCTACGGGCTTTCTGCCCATGGAATGTGATGATGTGATGATGCCCCACGTAGGTGCGGTGCCAGACCTCAGCATGGGTCACAGGGTCGGCCTCCTCATGATTGTCATCCCCTTCTGCCACGATCCTCTCATCGTCCTCCTAACAAAGAGTTCCATAAACTTCACTTAAGCGTTCACGTAAAAACGATCCAATCCTGAACTCATGACTTAGCCAACGCATCCAACTTTAAACTGATTTTTATTATTATTATTATTAAACCAATGCTACCGGAAAAAGCTGATCCAGCATGGCCATAGGCTTATGAACCAAAGTGCGATTAATATTATTTTATATGGCGAGAATGATTGTGTAATTTACTATATACAATTCAGCACAACAGCAGAACATGGATATTATACAATTCAGAGGATAACAACTACTGTAGTATTTTTGTACATTGCTCACTCGTGTCCTCTCCTACAAACGAATGAATTTGGTAGAACAAGTGCTTTCAATTCCTGCTTATATTTGGTCAGAAATTAACGAGGGTGCCTTCAATCACTCAGTGGAGACCTCGTGCTCAGTGGAGTAGAGGCTTGCATTGTAGGTCTCCATAGACTCGAGCAATAGAGCAGACACGTTCAACGTCACCAGCCCACACTCTGGAGGCACAGACAGCACGGCACATCCATTAACAGAGTATCAGAAATGCACACGTAGCCACGTCGTCATGTTGAACTTCTTTCGCACCGTACGTAGCCAACTCATCGGAGGTGTGGGGGAAGGACAACAAAGAGCACACTTATACAAACGTGTGCACAGCCACACATTCAATTGTGTCCACAAAATAAATTCATTTATGTGAGCAGACATATTATCAACATACTTCACCATGCTGGTCAGGGTGGGTCGGTGAAGGGGACAGCCCAAGTGCTGGTTCAGCTAGTCATGGCTTGAAATCAAACTTAGGTTGCAATGTTTGTAGCCCAGTAAGCTAACCGCAACGTCATCACTCCATCCAAATGCAATACATTATTCACATGACCGTAAACATTCTCACAGTCTATGGCTTTTAGTGGGATGCATCCCTCTTACAACAGAGTAGTGCATTGGTGTATGGCTGCGGGTGTTACACAGGCATCGTACCTTGTGACAGGCGTTGCAGACAGCTGGTTTTCCCCGAGAAGGGCTTTCCCAGAACGCAGGCACGGATGGAGGATGGAGGCAAGGCGACGGGTGGTGCGAGTGACCGTGGAGGACGCACTAATGTGCAAATATGCCGTACCACATGACCCAAGACGGCATTGTTGGGGGGCGGCTCCATGGCTGAACTGCCATCCACAGCTTGCCACTCTCCTTTCATGCCCTGCAGGGTTAGCGATAAGGAGGTAGCTTCAACTGGGCAAGTCTCTGACGCGTTTACGAGTCTTAACACGCGTTGCCCGTCGTAACGTTCAAAGTTTCGCTCCATGTTCTGGGAATTTCATTCGGTACTGAACCAAGTGACCGATTCGATTCGGTTCACGAAGAAGCTCTCAGCATGCGCAGTGAAACGTCGAACATCGTGACAAGAACAACAGGCGGTGCAACGTGACGAAGATTTACTTAGCTTGACAGGGTGGTTCCGTATTAAGTGCAGCTGTACATTGCTGTTGATATCCCTTACATTTACTCAAGACCTCCTTCACAAAAGATATTTTTGTCCCATTGAGCGCTTACCAGGTGCTAAATAAAAGATCACCCATGAATGAATAGATTTTTTCCCGCGGCAAAAGACACGAATGTGATGTGGGTTTTGCTTTCTTTCATTAATTAATTGAAGCCTTCATAAATAATGACTGCAATAATAAACCCACCGATAAACAAAGGAGCCTGACGGAAAGGCCTGACACACTTTTCCCGCTACTCTCAGTGTATTGGATAAGTTGCTTTGGTCTGGCTGCTGCGAGCCTCTGGCATATACACTGAATCGTAATGACCCTAGACATGGTCTTGGAAAACTTATGCAACTTGCAGAAATCCACATGCATTAATGAAAATACACTGCTTGTAAAAGTACCTTTCACCCTCGTTTTACCATATATGGACATATGGATCAGAAATATCGACAATGACAAAGAAATGAGAAAAAAAGCTGAAAAGTGCACAAAGAGATAACGATGCTAGGAAAAGTAAGTGGCCTTGGGTAAGTGGTTGAGAATAACGACGGATTGGTCAGCCAAAGGAGGAGATGGAGCGATAAAATTAGCTCATGTTCAGGTGCTAGATGGACAGCACCGTGGTGGGGCATGACAATAACTTGGGGAGGACATCATCCAGCTGTGGACTGCTTGTGGTTGATGAGGACGATTATGGTGGTGGTGTAGTATCGTTGAAAAAAGTGTGCACACCGCACCAGGTAATCTAAGAAGTCTTGCTCATCAAGCGCTGCCTGTGCTTCCTTGTGGGCCATTGAGACAGTGGACTCGGAAGTGTCCTTTGGGTCAGGTGGGTCGTAAACAGGCAGCTCCAGCACAAACAGCTCCCTCCACTCGCGCAGCAGCTGTTTCGGGATATTCCTGTACAGCAACGCAAGTGTGGCGTATATAAATTACCTGCAAATCACTTAATTGGGAGTACACATAGCCATTATTGCTCCTAAATATCAGAATACCTATTTGCAGGCCAGGAGACAAGTCACCTTTGGCTGCACAGGGACAACTGAAACTGGGGGTGCACTTTTAATTGTGTTGAGATGAGATTTGATGTAATTGGCTTATCACGTGTGGCTAGCACCAGCACACGATGGGATGGTGTGCCCAACAACACACCCGGCTTAGCATGGTTGGCTATGTACGATGCGAAAGAAGTTCAAGTTTGAAGTTTGTTTCCCCAGTGAAGATTTTTACACACCACAAAAGGTACTCATTTAAGGGTGAGTCCACCTTGTGAAGGCTCAGAACCGGATAAAAAATTTGGCACTGATGTTGATCGTGAGCCGAAATCGAACTCTGGTCGCCAAGTTTGTAGCATAGACCACGACACCACCGCTCCCAATGTGATTGGTAAGAATAGCACGCACAGAGACAAAGATCGCACATATAGTCTATAACGGACTGTTGGGGCAAGCGCTGTTCCAAAAAACCGATGAACCACATACACAAAGACAAAGATCCCCCGTATAGGCTTCAACAGACTTTTGGGGCAATTGCTGTTAGCGAGCATCAGATGAAGGCTGCCATGGCACACGAGGGGGTAGGTGGCCAGCACCACACCCGGCCGCCTTTGTCTCCCTAATGGCGGTGTTTACACACCACACCAGGTACTCATTTGAGGCTGAGTCGACCTAGGGGAGGCTCACTACAGATTCAGATAATCGTCACTGGTGTTGGCCATGAGCGGGAATCAAGCTAGGGTCGCCGGGTTCGTAGCACAGTGCGCTATCCACTACTCCGCCACTCCCAAAGTGGCAAGAGTAGCACGTGCAAAGACAAAAGACAAAGATTCCCCATATCGTCTTTAACAGACTGTTGGGCCAAGTGTTGTTCCTGAAAATCTATGAAGCACACACACACACACACCTGCCGGTGAGTTCCCTATACTCGGCCTGCCGGGTCGCCAAGTCCACCACATGCAGCACGATGCCCATGCACATTTGCTTGTGCCAGGCATGCCGAGCAGCCATGCGTTCCGCCAGCAGGTGAGCGTGCAGCTCCCGCTCGCGCTCTGCCTGCTCTCGCTTCTCCTCGCTTTCCCAGCGCGAACGTGCCTGCGTACGTGCACGCACGCACACGCATGCACACCACAACGCTTACACACGTGTACGTGCTGAAGATGCATAACAATGCCTCTCCGAACATAAAGCAGGGGCAGGGAACCTTTACCTTAGTGAGGGTCGAATAAGACTTTTATATTGCATCCAGCGGACCACACATGAACACACATCTCAGTGCTGTCCAATGATCATAGAAAAAAATACGTTTGTATGTAACTATGCTTTTACAGTGACAAAAGCGGCTGAGCGTGCAAAAATTTTAAACATTGATGGCAAGTTGAAAATATTCAAATCTATGACCCAATTACTGTTGCTAAGATGCTTACAGTGACGAATAAATGTTGTTCGCGGGGTTTTTATGGAGCGGTGGGCCTCATTTGGCTATGGGTCAGTATGAAATGAAGTTGTGGGTCAGATCTAACCCATGGGCTGTAAATTCCCCTACCCCGACGTACTGTGTCATATGCATACCGACTCACAGCGTCAGCGTCCAGAGCCTCCAAGAACTCGCGATGGCGACGTTCAGCGAGCTGGTAGTGGCGCTCCAGACGGTTTTGCCGCACCGTCTCCTTGTGCTGCCGCGTTAGCAGCAGCTGCACGGCAACACGCTGCTCCTGCTGGCTCTGTCTCATCAGCCGTCCCACCAGCTCCTCCACCCGATCCAGCTCCTGCACATTACAGCAACATCTTTTCCAGTGATCCCCCACCCCCTGCTTATGAAACCACCCCTTCTGCGAAGGGAAAGTGACCACTTCTCTGCATTGTCATCGTTACAGGAGAGAACAAGAACTGAAATGGGAGCAAAGAAACGTGGACATGTGCATGCTTGGAATTGTACGGAGAGAAAGAGGAATACGTGGATTTCAGAAAATATTCAAAGTTAGAAGCACAAAATGGACTCTTAAGATTGAGTGAGCTTGAGCAAGAACGGATGACGGCTGATGGTCGAGATTAACAAATAATTCATAAAAATAACATGATTAACAATAGTCACGATTTAATAGTACAGTATTTAGCAAAACAGATGACGCCATTATCTCATGCAATATTTCTGAGCATCGCCATATCGCAGGAACCCCTCACTTAGGAAATATTTTCTAGAGACAATTCATAACCTCCATATCCCGCTGGGCCTGAAGTTGCTGCACCAAAACCGCCCTGCGACGCTTCTCTCGCTGGTTCCGCGCTTGTCCATCCTCCTGCAGCCTGCGCCGAATCTCCCCCACGTACTCCACCCTGTTAAGACAGTCAACATCCAACTCGTAAACTTTTACGAAGCGCATTTTTATACTTGAGCAGGTATTACCACCTCCCAGGGGCAAAGCCACCGTGTTGGGGGTCATGGGCTTGTAGACACCGCCAAAATATTTAGATATTGCTTTGAGACACCCACAATGTTAAACGTAAGCTAAACAGGTGAACTGATATGATATTAATAATAATTGACACGTTAAATGCTTGTACACGTGACAATTTTATTTGTTTGGCTGTCACATGCTGGAGGGTTACATGTCAACAATTTGTCCACGTAATTATGTGGTCTCACCCAAAATACCAATTATGAATCATGATGTTAAATAAGGTTTGTCAGCAGTACACAGAATGTGGCAAGAGTATTTAATGATAGCACTATCAAAATCATGAATCATGAATATTTTTCGATTTAAAGCTTTCGTGACTGCAGGGATTCGTCTTCTTGGTTCTTTCGGTAAATTCACGTAGAATGGAAATAAAATAATAAAAATATTACGTTTTATTTTTATTATTTTATTTCCATTCTACGTGACTTCACCGAAAGAACCAAAAATCATGAATATTTATTCATGATTTCATTCTATGTGTAGTGTGCAACTGTATACCTACTTGTCTGGATTGTCATATCCGGTACTGACCCTCATCTTCAAGGTTTTCTCAAAGAGATGTATTTCCATCAATGTATTCTGAAAACACAAAATATGCAGCACGCATGAATACAGCAGGGAATAGTCAGGTATAAATATGTGAGCGCTGGACACTTGGGATGTAATGATTTACTCCCGTATCACAATTAAAATGTGTCTAGCTAGGCAGAATTGATCCAGTGAGATCGATCAACTTTACAGCAGGCGGCTCACAATCAGAAGGTCGCGAGTTCAAATACTGGTGAAAAAGTTGACTCAGCCCATCATCCTCCAAGGTCGTTAAAAACGAATACCACCCTTGTGGGCAACGCAACAGTGGTTGGCCTATGAATACACTCACCTCCCGCCATAGGAATGTGGAATTACTATAACTGGCTCAGAGCTGTAATGAGAGGCTTGCACTGCCTCAATGCTCATTGGAGCAAGAAATCACTTTGGCTTCGACAATTCAGGCTTCTAATTTGACTCAAATTGACTCAAAGTCACATGAACCCATTACATACATGTACAAACGGAAAAGTTTTGACGCTTACACAATTCGATGCGTTTTTGGTGACTTTAAGAGACGATCTTAATCGATTAATCTGTGCATTATACATATCAACTAGCATAAACTTAGTCTACCTCACTCAAATTATTTTAAAAAATATTGTTTTGCTTTTTTCTCCAATGTTATCCTGATTGCACTATCGGCATCACATAAAGAGATGAAGAATCCATCCAGATGTGTTACAGAGCGGCAGTGCAACTCTGTGTATTAGGGAATGGTCCACGGAAGCAGATAACAAAGAGCTGTCTCTTAGACCCCTTAAAGTGACCTCTCGCCAAACAGTAGAGGGCAGCACTTTCCCACCCTCCCTGTCACCAAGAGTAAAGTTGGTGACGGCAGACAAAATAATGTTATTTTCTTTCTCAGAACTGGAGTTCACAGAAATTAAAGTGCAGAACTAAATTTAATATACAGTAAAACCTTGGATTGCGAGCATAATTCGTTCCGGAAACGTGTTTGTAATCCAAAGCACTCGTATATCAAAGCACTCGTATATCAGTTGTGATCACGTGACGCTCGGCAGACAAAGGGTATATGTACTACTCGTATTGCAAGACCTCGCTCGTTTATCAAATTAATATTTATTTTAAAAATTTGCTCGTCTTGCAAAACACTCGCAGACCAAGTTACTCGCAATCCAAGGTTTTAATATAATGGAGGTTTTTTTTGCACTTGTTTGTTACCTGTGAGACTACCTGTGGGATCTTCACTCAAAACTGCTCTAGAGGAGTTGTACACCCCTAGCTGCCACTGCTATTCAGAATGGCTTTAAATGAAATGTATCGTTCTGGATGACCGCTGATATTTAAAGGTGTATTGAACATTTTTGATACTGCTACTGATACTCCTGCTGTTATGGAGTGACTCATGCAGCCAGCTATGGCTGCAAAGTTTGGTCGTACATGTTATGTATATCGTTTATTGTTAAATTTAAATCACAGTTCCTATGAGTACTGTTCCACTGTTTTTATAGCTTTATTTTGGTGATTTTGAAAACGTTTTGGTTTCGCCATTTTGTTTATTGTAGTACAGAGTTAGCTTGATAACTTTAATCTAAATTGTCTTATGGTTGTTATTGTTTGACTTGCATCCCACTGGGATTTTTGCACACAACGTTGAAATACGGTGTTTTTTCTGGAAGACTTTGCTGTTTTTTCCTGGATTTTTCTGTTGCGTGTTGTCACTTTAAGATGTTTCTTGTTCATGTTTTTGTTTGTTGCGGTTGCACCCGAGTCAAGAGCTGCATGGCTCACAGGGTTATACCTAATAAATGAAAACTGAAAAAAAACAGGCTAAGACCATCGACTCTCTACACTGCAGAACCTGGATTAATGACAGGCAGCTGCCTGGATCGGAACCCAGGATCTCAGCCATGCCAGCTCAGCGCTCTGACCTCTGAGCCACCCGGCCATCGCAAATCCACTCATTCTCAATGTTACGCAATGCCACGTAATTGTAAGTTGTGGCGCAAACTACCTGTGCGATGCGCTGCTGTTGCTGGTGCCTCCTGGCAGTGATCGCCTGGAGCGTGCGGTTGAGTGGTGGCGCGGGAAGGCGCACCGTAGCAGCCTGCAGCTGCGCCATCAGCTCGTCCTGTCGTCTCCTTTTCTGGTGAAGCTGCAGCACAGGCAATCTCAAAACATTATCGACGCTACTACAAGCAACAGGGCCACCCACCCCCTGCTGTCGTCCAAGCATGATAGAACAACGAGCGGTGACATGGCCTAGCGGTAGCACCTGTACGTACGGTAAACTTCTTCCGCACCATACGTAGCCAACCATGCTAATCGGTGCTTAGCCTCTGAGGTCTAAGGAGCGTGGGCACATTCTGAGTGAGTTGGTCATAGGCAGTGGTTTGATAAAGGCATGCAAATAAAATATTTGTATATATTTATTATGGCGATGGTATTAAAACGACGGGAATCGTGCACCTTTGCCTGCTCTCGCTTGCGCTGCTCCATGAGGGTCTGCTCGCGAGCCTCGCGCTGCTTGAGTTCCTGCATGACGCGCCCAGCCTCCCGCTCTCGGGCTCGCTGTTCAAACGTGCTGGTCAGCTGCTGCAGGTTCACCTCCACCTGGCGTGCCACTTTACCCTTCAGCTGCTGTTCACGTGCAGACAAGGCATCATGAATATGATGATGATGATGCTGCCAACGACTCACATTCAATAATCACTCATTCATATTATGTTGTTTAATTGGGTGAGAACTCAAGAGAACAGGTGAGTTTCATTTGCAAGAGTGACCTGGGGTATTCATCTGCCAGTAGGGAGCGGTAACTGCTCTGTGTATAATGCTAACCAGCGGCGAATGCGCCTTCAAATTTATGGCCGATGGAATGTGTCGAGAGACAAACATGGGCATACTGTCAACATACTGAATCAAAATATGCATTAATCTTGCAGGAATCCGACGAGTTATGAAGCTTTTTTTCACAGATGTCCAGTTGTAATCTCTCCCTCCACCACTTCGTTCACCTGCTGGTACATCTCGGTGCCCAGCGCGTGAAGGCGCGCAGGCGCGGGCGGCTGCATGGCCTGCAGGGCGGCCCCCGTAAGGCCAGCGCGCCGCATGCGCTGCAGGGCCACGTGGAGCTGGTAAAGGAGGCGCGTGGCCACGCCGGGCTCGGCGCGCATCAGGCCACGCGCCACCTTCGTGTCGAACGCCACTCCGAGCAGCCGCAGCGGAGCCTCCACGCGGGTGAAGTTGTTGAGCTTCGCCTCGGCCGTGCTGCAAGAGATGGAGATGCACAGACCACGACGTTAAGAATCAATGTGCGTTTAAGAGTATTTGGCTGCTATACATTTCCATATGATAAGCCACTTCGTTGAGCAATCATTTGTGGCCAGACCACTTCTGAAAAAGAGCTATATATAGCTCAGTGTGCCTTACCTAGTAAAATAAAAATAGTTCAGTAGTTTCGTAAGATATTGTTTCACTTGTTTTACCCAGGAGAGCTTCACTCTTTTGTTGGAGGGTCTTGTGAAGTTTTCACAGTACGGGGGCGATCTTGCAATGTGTAATTGTATTTAAATTATTTTCAGGTAATTTTTCAGCGTTGATGATGACACACCTTGCTTTCGAGAAGGCTGAGAAGTCATCCTGCAGTTTGTAACGGTGGAGAATCTCCCCGATTATAAACCCACTTGCCAGCTCCTGTGACAATGTCTGGGGCTCTGTAACAAATGGAAACACGTTACATGAAATTCTCAATCACTTTGTCATACACCCACTAACCCACATACTCACTCAATCCCCTTGTTCATCTACTCACACACCAACTCACTCACCACATTCACTTACATGCCTACTCACCCACCTGTTCACCGACGGGTCATTCACTCACCCTTCCACCCATACACTTTCCCACCCACCCATTCGTTCACTCACGTGCTCACCCATAAGCTCGCTCACTCACCTACCTAATCTACTCATTCATAACCTGCTCATTCATTCATTCACTCACCCTCTCTCCCCTCAATCTCTCATTTATGATCTCACACTCTCTCCTTGCTCACCATTACCATCTCATCCCATAATTATCTTCCAAACTCTCACCCTTGATCCTCACCATCTATCCCCTGTCATCTTTATCCTCTCTCTGCCGTGTAACCTCACCAAATCGCCTCTCCCTCGACCCTCTCGCTCCTCACCCCGTCTCCTCAACCCGTCCCTCACCCCGTCCCTCACCCCTTCTCCTGACCCCGTCCCCTCACCCCGTCCCCTCACGACGTGCCCTCACCCCGTCTCCTCACCCCGTCTCCTCACCCCTCACCCCGTCTCCTCACCCCGTATCCTCACCCCGTATCCTCACCCTGTCTCCTCACCCCGTCCCCTCACCTCGTCCCCTCACCCCGTCTCCTCACCCCTCACCCCGTCCCCTCACCCCTCACCCCGTCCCCTCACCCCTCACCCCGTCTCCTCACCCCTCACCCCGTCTCCTCACCCCTCACCCCGTCCCCTCACCCCTCACCCCTCACCCCGTCTCCTCACCCCTCACCCCTCGCCCCGTCCCCTCACCCCGTCTCCTCACCCCTCACCCCTCACCCCGTCTCCTCACCCCGTCTCCTCACCCCTCACCCCGTCTCCTCACCCCTCACCCCGTCTCCTCACCCCTCACCCCGTCCCCTCACCCCGTCCCCTCACCCCTCACCCCGTCTCCTCACCCCTCACCCCGTCCCCTCACCCCGTCTCCTCACCCCTCACCCCGTTCCCTCACCCCGTCCCCTCACCCCTCACCCCGTCTCCTCACCCCTCACCCCGTCTCCTCACCCCGTCTCCTCACCCCTCACCCCGTTCCCTCACCCCTCACCCCGTCCCCTCGCCCCGTCTCCTCACCCCGTCTGCTCACCCCGTCTCCTCACCCCTCACCCCGTCCCCTCACCCAGGCGTCGTGACAGCTGCAGCTCCTCGTTGAGCCACCTGCACAGCAGCTCCGTCATCTCCCGCACCGCAACGTTCACGACGGCTCTCTCGCGACGTCGCTTGCGTCCCTATTAACGTCGTTTGTCGCTGACGCCGTTGTTAATTTTAGATGTGTTGTCGACGCCGTTGTTGTTGTTGTTTTGTTTGTTTTCAATAAACGGACCCGGTGCCCGTGGCGCGAGGCCTCAACGTGGGGGGGTGGGTGAAGCCTGAGACGCGTCTCCATGGCGACCGGGGCCACGCACCACGTGACCGCGGTCGCAGGTTTATTTTTATTTTATTTTCAATTTAACAACCTCCAGAACCTCTGATTTAAAGCTTTCGTGACTGCAGGGATTCATATTCTTGGTTCTTTCGGTAAAGTTCACCACGTAGAAGGGAAACAATTTAAATAATACAAATATAAACAATAAAATTATCACGACGTTTCGACTGCAACACAAGAAGCAATCCATAATCTTAGCTCTTTCGGTAAAGTTACGTTGAAGGGAAACAATAAAATAATAAAATATATAAAACAATAAAAATTCTCACGACGTTTGTGTTATGGTCGAAACGTCGTGAGAATTTTTATTGTTTAATATATATTTTATTATTTTATTGTTTCCCTTCAACGTGACTTTACCGAAAGAGCTAAGAATATGAATTACTGCAGTGACGAAAGCTTTAAATAAAAATTTACAAGAAGCAATCGTCATCAGGTGTGAAAACCACAGCAAGAAAATTTGAACAAAAAAGTGGCGTTTTATTTTTTAACGTCAGCACCACGGAGAGCGATTTGACAGTTTGTTCAGATGGACGAGTCCATCTATATTCTTAGTTTTTTCGGTAAAGTCACGTTGAAGAGAAACAACAGAATAACAAAATATATATAAAACAATAAAAAAATAAAAAATTCTAACGACGTTTCGACCATAACTCAAACGGTCGAGTTATGGTCGAAACGTCGTGAGAATTTTTTATTGTTTTATATATATTTTATTATTTTGTTGTTTCTTTTCAACGTGACTTTACCGAAAAAACTAAGAATATGAATTACTGCAGTCACGAAAGCTTTGAGTCCATCTATGTTCGGGAAAGAGGAGGGGGAGACGAAAAATAATGGATGCGGTCTGAAAGCCACCGTAAGCGTGAACAATCAATTAAGACCCGAAATGGTTTACCGAAAGAACCAAGAATATAACCTCCAGACCGGCACAGTGTACAGGACAGTAGTTATTTACCGGTCTGTCCTCCGTCTTCGTCAAGTCAGCAGCAGCAGCGGCGGCACTGACCCGCTACAAAATGCGCGGACACTCACCACAACAACAACCGTCATTCGACGCGATTGTTCTTGTTGTTGTGACGTCAGCACGGCGCTCGTGGCAGGCTAGGTGCACGTCCAGGCCTTCACGTGGAGTGTAGAAGGCTCGCTCGGATGCACCACCAGCTGTACCGCCTACTGTGCCAGGCTAGGTGCAGGAGATCTCGGGACAGACCCAGCAGGTGCCATGGGTTGGCCGACTGAGATGACCGGTAGATGCACCACCAGCTGTACCCCTACTGTGCCAGGCTAGGTGCAGGAGATCTCGGGACAGACCCAGCAGGTGCCATGGGTTGGCCGACTGAGATGACCGGTAGATGCACCACCAGCTGTACCCCTACTGTGCCAGGCTAGGTGCAGGAGATCTTGGGACACCCAGCAGGCGCCATGGGTTGGCCGACTGAGATGACCGGTAGATGCACCACCAACTGTACCGCCTACTCTGCCACTTGGCTGCGTTTTATCCACCCAGTGCTCCGCTCGTTGTTGTGAGCGTCGCTCCTCTGCCCTCCGTTGTTGCTGGAGGGCGACTGCCTCCAACTGCCCAGCAGCAGCAGCAGCGTCCTCCACGAGCCTCCTCCACAGAGGCCGATCTTGACACCGCTGCTACCGGTCATTGGAGAGTCCAATAATCTCCACATTCTCCTGTGCCACATCAGCCCATCTCTTCTCTAGCCGGTTACCGTGCCCGTTTAGCCCCCTCGATCCGGGTCATGGCTAGGCGCCATGACCCAGCCAACGCAGCCTCGCCTGCCGAAGGAGTTCACCGATGGGACTGTGTCCAGATCTTTAATTGATTTTCGAGATCCTCATACAATCCGGCCGAGTTAAACCCATGGTGAATCGTAAGCAGGCCATCCTGAAAGTTTCAAACCGGCGCAAATTTGGCCATAGCAAAGACCCCCCCCCCCCCCCCCCCCGTATAGTCTCAACACACTGTTGGGGGCAAGTGCTGTTCGCGAGCACCTATTAAGGCCGGCACAGCCCATAATGGGATGGGTGGCCAGCACCGCGCCCGGATGATTTCGTCTCCCCGGTGCTGATACGGTCCATTGTTTGGGTTGCTTGACCGTAATCACAGCACTGTGGCTTGTCTTTAATTTTCCATTCACGAAGGAGATGACATTTCAACTTATTTATTTAGCGAATGCAAATTCCCAAAGGCAAGCGGTTGCTTCCCGTCCAACTGCGTTGAGGGCGAGTTGACCTCCACTGAGCTTGTGGATTGGGCAGACTTTTCGGATGTGGTACACGATTTTCTCCACCCCACAGGCACATAGGGGCTTTGCTCTTATGTCCCATCGCTGGAGGCTGGCGAGGCATGGGCCATGAGCAGTCCTGAACCTGTTGAGGGCCGTGCCCAGTCGCAGTATTTTTTAAAGTTAGAACCGTGTTTCTTAATCATTCTTAGCAACAACAAAAAAACACCTTTGGAACACATGGGGAAAAAAGCCCCACCACCGCATCCTCGATTGTTGTAACAGCTGTATATAATTGCGGCTGTGGTCATCCAGCAACGTATAACGACGCAATGCCCCCCAGTTCACAAATACGAAGGAGACATCACAGCGATGATACACTCCGCTACTCCTGACGCGGTTCTCTGGCTTGACCCACCTAAATGTGAAACTGTAGTCGTTGCTCTGCATTTATATCAGCCGTACGATAGAAGACTTCACCATTACAGTATTATTATCATCATACTCGTCATGTGTGTGCATTATATAAGGCAAGTGGTTCTTAACCTGGGGTGTACGCACCCCCTGGGGACACGAGATGCTCTTTCTGGGGATGCGAGACACGACAAGATTTTGTTTAGAATCGAAAACAAATTCAGCACGGGCACGTACGTTACAACTTACTTTGTTTCATCAAAACTCCTGCGTATTTATTAACATAATGCATTTTTTTTACGATCGAGAACCAAAAGGGTGCAGGCTGCAGTAAAGTTCAAGGACCACTGGTGTACCAGGAGACAGACGAACGACGGAGATTGCAGTTTGGTTGTATATTTTTTATTTGCACGTTCCTTTGTACAGTGAATGGTCTATGATATTGTGGCCGTTGTCGCCCCGATTATCGATCGCGATGTGGAACCACTTTGAACGGCGCTTCTTGGTGTAACGACGCGAGTGAGGAGGAGGTGCGCCGTCGAAATTCCACGTTACCATGACGGTTTTCTTTATTTACAAATCCTCTGCACGGCTCAGCACACACACACACGTGTGTAGGTAGGCAAGCAGAGCTTTACCCCAGTAAACCTGGCCAACATTGAGCGCAATCGCTGGGCACAACAACTGGTTTTGACTACGTGCCAAATAACGTTGACCCAACGTTGTTCAGCGTGTTCGTTGGGTTAGTGTGGCCTGCTTGAAGTGTGAACGTATTGAGACAGAGAGACGTGCGGCGATTCTGGTGATGTCTTCGCAACAACGTAGGCAGCAGGGCAGCTGTCACGGTGGTATCACGTGGAGACGATGGTGGTCCGATGATGATGATGATGGTGGTGTTGGTGTTGGTTGTGGTGTAGTCACTACAGCTCACGGTAGGCCAACTCCTTCGCCTTGTCCATGGATTCCTCAACTGCGTTCAAGAGAGGGCAAAACGTTACATTATAAACGAGACGATTATAATTATAATGCTGTTTATATTATCCTTGTTACTTTTGTATTTTTATAACGTTTGTTTACCCACGAAAGCCTCAGCAAGATATTAATAACCTCGCGTGGTATGGAGGAGGTTGTGGGTTTGATCCCGACCCTGACGCCTTTATATTTGGAGTTTGCATGTCTCTCTCTCTCACTTGGGTATCATGGATTTGTGTCCGGGTCCTCCAGACTTTGCATGTTCTTCCCGTGGTCACGTGGAATTTTCCCTCCACATTTGAGAAACATGCGTTTAAGAGTACCTTAAACGCCGCTATAAATTTCTACATGATAAGCCAATTCTTTGAGCTGTCGTTTTGTTCGCTTCTGAAAAATAGCGATAAGGCTCAGTGGGGCTTACCTGGTGAAATAAAAAATTGTTGAGTGTTAGTTTAGGTTTTAGAAAAAGCGGGCGATGTTATTGCTGCTGCTGCTGCTGCTGTGTATAATCCCACTTGAGTAATTTGCAGGTAATATTCCAGCAGTGAGGGATGATTGGCCGATTCCAGTTAAGTTGTGTGTGTGTGTGTGTCCTGTTTTAAGCTACGGGACAAAAACAGGAGGAGCCAGGGGAAACCTTCACAGGGTGAGAACGTACAAGCTCCGCAGAGGAAGGTGCCCCGAGTCGGGAATTTAACCCAGGGCCCTTCTTGCTGTGGGCAACGATGGTTAACCACTGCACCTCAACCATGGCAACCAATTTAGCACTGCTGATATTCAGTGTAGGAACAGTAGAGTGAAAACATTACACAGCCTAAGCATAGGCCACTGCTGAGCACTCATGTGGAAGAGTTGATGGTCCATACATTCGTGAACATGGTTTGGTAGAGAGCATGAGGACATGTGGATGATTATACAACCTGACTTTACCTGTGCAGCTGCAAAGAGTGTAAAATGCCACAATAATTCGCGAAGTTCTGCAAGGTTTAGTCATTGCCACCCGTACAAAACTCGTGCTCTCTAAACAACGAGCAACTTTATTCCCGTGGCTACACCACGGGGAAGGGGAGTGGAGTCAAGGATGTAATGTTTGGAAACAGAAAGGGACGTGAAAGGGAAGAGAGAAGAGAAAGGATGAGAAATAAAAGGAAAAGGATGGAAAAATGGGAGAAAAGGGTCAGGAGAGATGAGGATCGGGAGGAAGGGCCTCGACGCTGCTGCTGCACGGAGCGTGGCGTCTGTTTTCGCAGGGGGCGGGGAGGAGAAGGAAGGGATTCAGCGTGGGGGTGACCACACAGAAGTCACATGATTTACAGGAGGCTTGGGCTGATTATAGACAGACGAAAGCAAAGCAGCAAAAGGGTTCACTTGACGAAATACTTACTTTGTTTGCTCAGAGAGTAGTAATACTTGTACTGATGAGCACTCTTGTTGTAGACCTCTTTCATCACCTGCCCATTTGGATCTGCACAGAGAACGTAACACTTGAGCCTTTCTTCCATCATGATGATAAAAAAATAAAATTTAACTCTTAACGGGGCACACAGTATTCACTCGCTCTCGAAAGCAGAAGATGGCTCAGAGGCACGAGGAACTGTAGACAAGCAGGAAGGTAGCCACGTGGTGAGCCGGTGCCAACAGTTACCCAAGCAGGGAGTGCAGCAGGTAGTGCAGCAGGGCATTCATAAGGTAGTACAGAAAAAGTGCAGCAGGGTGCAGCAGGTTGCGCAATGGGTAGTGCAGCAGGGTGTACAGAAGGTAGTGCAGCAGGGCATTCATCAGGTAGTGCAGCAGATGTCCAGCAGGGTGCGCAGCAGCAGAATGTGCAGAATTTAACGGAGATTTTACACCGGCGCCCATAACTCACGGAGAAACAGGATGCGCGGGGCGTAGTGTCCATCCAGCGCAAATTGGTCTCCTTGGGGGTCCTCCTGCCCAGCACGCACACGCGTACACAACCCGTTAACGTTATTCCACTTGAGCACCCGGACCAGGATGCTCTTTCACGCGAGAGCTGAGCTGCTGTTAAACACCTGGCGATGCCGGGTGTCGTCTCCAGCAAACCGTCGTCCAGAAAAAGTGTCAACAGTTTGCTCGGGCCTTTCAACGTTCCTCATCCTCCGGGTTTGTCCTCAAAAACCAAAACCAGCCGGGTGATTCGCCCATCAGCTGACAACTTGATTGGCTCTGTCGTTGGGTGGTGGAGGGTTATAGTTAAACATTATACCGGCACGATGGTCTGACCCCAAAAAAACGATGAATGAATCAGCCACTTTCATAATTGGCCTCGCCTTCAGAGCGTGCCAACTCGACCTCTGGCCACGTTTCCAAACGTCAGACGATCCCAAACGCCACCGCTGCCACCGTCCTGCTGATTGACAGCAGCGGTGGTGGTTATGCTGCACGTGGCCTATAATCCAGCATTTGTGGAGGCAGCAGCGAAGATTGGTGGCAAGCAAACAAAGAGTAAAACTGTTTTTGGGTGTCGATCATGTACCATACTCTGGCTTGCCAGGAGAAGGCCGTGCAGTATAAGTGCGGGATAATCTTCATCTTTTCCAACTCCCTTCTTGCGTGACTTACAGGAGGCTAGAGCTAGTTTAGATAGACAGATGATGATGATGATGGTGGTGAGTACATGTGTGACCCACCTCTGTCTGAACCATCACAAAGTCCCCGCTCATTCGATAAATCTTCGTGCTCCCGGAAATTTGAGGCTTCAAATCTGGAGACGAAAACAAAAACAACAACACCGGTCATGCGGGGCACATACTGCAGTAACGGCCTGGACACACACGGCAGTAATGGACTGGATAGAGTCACGCGAGCGATCCTCACCGTGTCATCGTTTTATGAAGTAGCGTTGTTATTTTTAAAAATATCTGACTAAACTGGTTAAAAAAGAAACGGTTACCGGTTTTGCGTCAGGTTTAGAAATAAATGTCTATGGCAATGAGCGGATCACGGCTACGACTTTTTGAAAAACCGAGAAACGAAGGCAGCTGCCACGGCGGTGGTGTAACGGTCATCAGCGTGCTAGGACTTGCAACCTGAAGGTCGCCGGTTTGATTCCATCTCCGGGTGCGGCAGTTGAAAGTAATGGACAAGGGACTTGAATTTCCCCGATCTCTGTCCACCCAGCGTTATAAATGAGAATCACCCACAGTTAGCCAATCGGCAGGTTTGCTCGTGGTGGTGGTGGTGGTAAGATAAAGGGTGGGTACGCCCACCTCTTTCAAGACGTGTGGTCAGCGTGGAAGAGTAGGCCAAACACCTGACATACAGCTCGCTCGAGGAGTGGAGGGCCCCGTCTGCGAGCAGTGGCGTGAGCAGGAAAATCGCAGGGCTGCGTCTGCGCCTTTTATTCACCCCCACCGCTGTGGCGTTTGTCCGTTCGCGAGTGCCAATCAGCGGACTCTTCACTAAAATTCAACCGACTTAATGAGTACATATGTAGAACTTGTAACGCGCCGTTGCACAGTGTTCGCTCGCTCTCAGAGGCGCGAGGAGGAAACACAGACGGGCAGGAAAGGACCACCGGTGAGCCGGTGCTACCAACAATTACCCATGCTCTGCGGTCCTCTAGATACGAAGATATTACCTCCTAATTAGTGAGCGTTAATACACGTGGGATGAAACCTGAGCACCAGGAGAAAGCCTACCACCGAGTACCGTGTCAGGACGCGAGGCATGGGGATTTACCCTGGCAGCGGGGACACCAATCCTTGTGCAGAACGAGCATGATCGGCTTTCCACTGCCACAGAACAACACAGAGAGCATGTTAATTATTATTATTATTACGCTTGCTTACTCAGGAAAGCCTCACTCTTTGTACGGAGGGTCCTGCCAGGTTATTGTGGGCAGTAGGGGGGCGGGGGGTGATGTCGCTGCTGCTGTGTGATCCCCTTTGGGTGATTTACAGGCGGTTCAGCATTGGGTTGTGGTTTTGTCTAATACCACCGGTCTACACTGTATGATTGTTTTAGCTATGGAGACCCACCTTACTTGGCGCCGACAAGCGAGGTGGTTCTCCGATTAGCTCGGTTGGCTACGTACGGTGTGCGAAGGAAGTTCAACATACAGCGCAGCAAATCACAACTGCTTTATTGGCCTCTCCTCCCTGTCTGAGAGGAGCTGGGGCCGGACTCGGCAACAAGATATCTGTGAAAAAAAGAGCTTTACAGCTCATCGGATTCCTCCAGTATGAACAAATATTCTGATTTTAGCCGCACGCAGTACCTGGCCTTGGCTTTCTCCAGAGCAGTCTCCAGAGTGGGCACCCAGTCGATGTGTTCCCCAAACCCTGCACGCAACGAACACAACCGAACAAATGGACATTCATTGACCGCCCCCACCCCCGTAGGACATGAATTTACCGTCAACGCGGTTTCATTGCTCGCGATACGACGATGCGAGATGTATCGATACAGAATCCGATGAGCTATGAAGCTCTTTGTCACAGATGTCCAGTGTGGGGCACGGGGTCAGAAGCTTACAACAAACCATGCAAAAACACGATAGGAGTGCAAAGTATAAGAAAGGCAAACAAATCACTTTAAAAATATACACAAATAAAACTCTTTTTTTCTCACCGCCCCCACCCCCGTAGGACATGAATTTACCGTCAACGCGGTTTCATTGCTCGCGATACGACGATGCGAGATGTATCGATACAGAATCCGATGAGCTATGAAGCTCTTTGTCACAGATGTCCAGTGTGGGGCACGGGGTCAGAAGCTTACAACAAACCATGCAAAAACACGATAGGAGTGCAAAGTATAAGAAAGGCAAACAAATCACTTTAAAAATATACACAAATAAAACTCTTTTTTTCTCACCAGGTAAAGCCCAACGAGGTATAAACTTCTTTTTTAGAAGCGACCTGGTCCCAAATGACAGCTCAACAAAGTGGCTTATCACGTGGAAATATACAGCAGCCAAATAGTCTTAAATAATCAAAACAAGGAGTATAGTGATGGCAGTTTCCCGTAAATAATTGGCTGCGGCGGCGGGTTGGTCCAATAAATGAACGGCTGTTGACTTCGACACAAAATTGGTGCCGATTTTTATCGACCCAGGTGGAGGGTTTAACACAGCTGTCAACCCCTTATCAGTGCCATACCTTATTACAGATCAATTCAGACCTTATTGGTCACCCCGTGCCCTTATAAATCTCAACGTTCATCCTACAAAGTCCCATCACGAGGGAGAAACACAAATACATAGACAATCACCACTACTACACGAACCACTAGTACACTCACCAATACATACCTGTTAACCCCTTATCAGTGCCCTATATTACATTTGTATGCCCGGATTGAAACGGCTGTACGCCGTATGGACCTGAAAACTCAATTCCCTGTACAAGAATACGGGGTAGATCGTACGGGCTGACAGTTAATGGGTTAATAGGCCGAATCAACCCCCCAAACCACTCGACTACCACTGAGCCACCTGTACCACTGACTTTACACCTCGTGGTTAGATACTATCAGCATTGATGTTATCAGTCGCTGACCTCTTTGACGGAGCATTGCAAGGTGTAAATTAGCCTATATTTGGGCCGCAATGAAACAAGGGGGCTTTGTTAATGAGGCGGATATCGCAGGGGTACCTAACCGCCGCTGAATGAGCCCGGTATGTCAAGAACTTACTCGAGTACAGGGCTGCATCCTTTTCCACTGTAGACCAAACTCGGACAACATTTATCTCGGTCAGCCTAGGTCAATCGAATCAAATCCTGTCACCACCATGACCACCACCACCACCCGAACAGAGACGTCCAATGCCTTGGACACTCCTGGTTCAACCTGGACAGGTGGCGACCCCATTAGACGGGGTGAGTGGACGAGTTTACTCAGTGACTGGGCGAATGAATGAGTGAATGAGTTGATGATTGCATTAAGTCGGTGGTAATGTAGCCACCTTTTCCACCGTAGATCAAACCCAGACTTATCACTCCGTCAGCCTCGATCTATATAAACTGCGCGGTAGTCTGTAATCAAGTTCAACACTGCAATACCAAATCTCTCGGTTGCCAATCAACATCCTGCCACCTGAGCACAGACGCCGATTACCGGGCTATCCAGCTCTGAACCTCCGGGTCAAACCCTGGACAGGTGGCGACCCCTACTCTAATATCCTCTCACCCCACGCAGTGGCTTTTGGCTGGCCGTCGAACAAAGACGGTGGTCCCCAGCATCACGTGCTTTCAGATGCGCTCCTGCGGCCGTCTGGAACGCTCTTCCTTCCGATATTAAGAAGCCGCTGGAACTACGCATTTAAATAATCTCGATTGACAAACTAATTTAGAACTGCCTTTTGTGTTTAAGTGTGTTGTCCTTCCCCCGGTACCTCCGATGAGCACGGTTGTCTATGTACGGTTTGTTCGAAATAAGTTCAACGTGCACACATACATACCACATCGGTGCAACCCCCTAATAGTCCCCGGTGCTGTTACTGACCATCTCCCTTGGACCTCTTCTTGCGTGCCTCGCTGGCAGCCAGCAGGCCGAGTAGGAGGAAGAGCAGCACTGCCCCGCGCATGGCGTTAGTTGATGGGGTTGTCGCGGAGGAGCGCGTGGTTGTAGTCTTGGCTGTAACAGCCTGTGGGGGTGGGTGGGGGGCACGCGGGGCCGTGCGCGGGAGCGGTTATAAAGCGAGCGGGAGGGCCCTTGTCGCCTGGGTCTATCCGGCCCGGGAGTGCGGCCGGCCGGCCCTCGTCACGGCCACGAAGGAGGTCTCGAGGGCCCTTGTGGACAAAGTACACGTAAGGCATTAGAGAAGACGCACCCAAATGATCAATATAAAGAAAATATTTTACAAAAGTAAAGGACAACTTTACCTCGGTGATCTCGTCAAGGACTGTAAACCATCATCACGTGAACTCTGGTCATCCTCGCAGCGGCGGCTTTTGGCTGACCATCGAACAAAGACGGTCACCGCATCACGCGCTTTCAGATGCGCTTCTGCGGCCGTCTGGAACGTTTTTCCTTCCGATATTAAGAAGCCACTGGCGCTATGCACGTTTAAATCATCTAGATTGAAAACGCATTTCTTTAAAACTGCTTTTAGTGTTTACTTTGCCCTTCCCCGCACCTCCGATTAGCGCGGTTCGCTTTGTACGGTGCGAAAACAGTTAAAAACACAAATACACACAGATACTACAGCGACTTCTACGTAGCATGTCGGTAGTTTGTATCACGAGTGTTGTTCGGCACGCTGGCACACCACGTCCGGCGATTCGCTCCGCGTGCCGGGAGCTTGTGCAGTTCAGTTCCTTGAAGAATCGCCCGGTTTCTGGAGCGAAACGTCAGACACCGTGCCGAACATCACGATACGGTACGACCGCCGTTCGCGCGCAACGGTCACCGTACAACTCCGCGGTGCGGTTTCCTGGCCGTTGCGCGCGACGTCCGACGTTGGTCTCCGAGCACCACTGCGAGATTTCAGTCGCTCGCCGAGTCGTGGAGCGAAACGTCGGACATCACGGTGAACGACGCCTCGGCGCAACGCGAAACCTCACCGAAAGAGCAATCGGATGCGCGCGGCAATCCACGGAAAGAGGGTAATGGAAATGAGTTGCAAGATAATCGGGGACGGATGCAGAAAAAACGTGTCTTTATTTCGTAATAAAAAAACAACCCCAATAAAGCGGTTTCAAAGTTAGCTTGGCAAAAAAAATCACTCGCGTCTAGCCAGAGGTTGCGCGACCGTAAAAATGCAGCAGCACTGTACAGTCACGGAGCACGAGATAAACGGACCCCGTGGAGGGCCCCGCGAACTCCACGTCCGTGGAACGAAATCGCCACAAACACGCGAAAGACCAACACACGGGGTGGGATGGCCGACCCACCCCCTAGTTTCCTGAAAATGCGATTGAAAATGTTGTTCTTCAAAATGCGTCAAAAGTCAGGGGGTGAGGGAATCCGTTTCCTTACCGAGGATTGAAAAGGAGTTTTAAATAAATTTTGATTTAAAGCTTTCGTGACTGCAGTAATTCATATTCTTAGTTCTTTCGGTAAAGTCACGTTGAAGGGAAACAACAAAATAATAAAAAATATATATAACAATAAAAATTCTCACGTCGTTTGCATAATGCAAACCGACACACCTGAAGACGACCGTTTGTGTTATGGTCGAAACGTCGTGAGAATTTTTATTGTTTTATATATATTTTATTATTTTGTTGTTTCCCTTCAACGTGACTTTACCGAAATAACTAAGAATATGAGTTTTAAATACTTTGTGGCGGGCAACCGCACATTAAACGCACGCCACACTTTAAACGTGAACCAACGTGAACCAACGGCAACGCACAAAAAATCTATTACGGCTCGCGGCGTTTCTAGAAAGTTATAAAACACGGCGTTACCAGGTCGCAAACATTTCCGCCCTCTAGGACCCGATCATTGAGGCTCGGATGCCTGCGACGACGGATCAACTCGATGTCCGTGTGAAATTAAGTCAGGGGGATCGTGTGAAATGAAGTTATGGGCTGCATTCAGCCCGGAGGCCGTCGGTTTGGACCCCCCTGGCTTATGCGAAACAGCGAGAGGATACCACTCTGAAATATTTCTGACCGCACGCCGAATTCGTATAACCCCACACAACTCAAAACATTTTTTTTTTACTTTTAAGTGTTTGTATGAACGGAGGCATACTCAGCCAGGCAGTCCAGGAGTTCCAAACATCTCCCTGGCTGACAAGTCTAGCACACCCAATTAGTCCCACAGCTTCAGCTGGGATAGTTGAGAGCTGGGATAGTTGAGAGCTGCGACCAAGGCACGTGTATGTCAATGACAGCTGCAGAGCAATGATCAAACTGCAGGATTCGGGACGTACCAACACACTCGGATGTCTCCAGAAGCACGTTTGTAATCAATGTATTATTACCTGCTACGTCACATGGATCGGAGGGCACGGACATTTGACAATGCAACTGGAACAAGAGCCGGAAAGTGCGCAAATGAGCATGGTGAGGTGCGCGGTTCCAATTGTGCTGAGAAGCCGAGAGGCACGGTTGGAGAAGAGAGCACATTGAGCGAGAATGAAAGTGGGCTTGTGCAGGACACGTCACGGCTAGGTGGTGTGATTGGGCCGGTGGGCGAGACTATGAGTGGAGTGGCAGCCACCACGGACATGTGGTGGATGCGATGAAATCGTCTCGCGTGCAGGCGCTCGATGGATCAATAGATCGCGGGGGACGGCGACGGCGCGGGGAGGACTTCGCCTAGCAGCGGATTGATCACGGCTGCCGATGACGACGATCTTGATAACAATGAAAACCATCGTAGGCTCAGGAAGCGTGCTGACCCCAAACACAGCGACTGGTTGGCAGTTTCCGGCGATGTCCCCTCCATCGCTCTGACGGCCACCGTGGTGGCCGCCCGGGGGCGCGGCGCATTGCGCAAGGTGCCACTCGACGGCAGCGGCGGCGGCAACGCATTGAGGTAGCGGTGGTCGTAATTCTATCCCCAGCACAAACACTTGGCACGGGAGTCAAGACTTGCGAGATCAGCCGAGGAAAGGCGCCATCGGCATTAGGTTTCTTCGCGGGCACGGCGTTCAGTTGTGGCGACTTGACAATAACTGCAATGGGACGCTCCGGAAAGCAAGACCCACCCAAATACATGTGCCCGGTGTCAGAAAAAAAGTTACGCAAATGTCGTCTCTCACACAGTGAGAGACTACTAGCCTTCAACTATTGGGGAAATTGCCGTTGGCGATCGCTTTTGAGGGCAGGAACGGCACTCGAGAGGGTGGGTGGCCAACACCACGCCCGGCCGCGAGTGGCGATGTTTACACACCACACAAGGTACTAATTTGAAGCCGAGTCGACCCAGGACCAGTTCAGATAATCGTCATTGGTGTCGACCGTGAGCGCTCAGCACTACACCACCTCACAACGCGCGCACACGCGCTCGTACACACACACACACCTACCGGATTGTAAGAGGCACCCCCCCCCCCCAACCGTTTCTTAAAACGCTGGGGGGTGGGGGGGGGAAGTGCGTCGTAATTTCAGGAAGTATGGTTTAGCAAAACTCGGGACCTGTACCCTCTGAGTGGGCTGCTGACATCACTAGCTGGCACGCTACAGAGGCTTCAGGGACCCCGCGGTCAAACAGGACGAGAGCCGCCGGGACGATTCGTTGATTAATCGCCTCGGAATTGTAAATCGACTGCTTTCCTTTTGTGGTCGATAACTCGGGCCCCCCCCCCCTGGCCACCTTTAAAATTCGCGTCCGTCCTCCCCACATTCTGCCTTGTGAAGGCGGGAAACCCCCCTAGGAGCCAGGCCCAGTGCGCGATGTGGCCGATGATGATGCGGACATCGTGACCAAGACACGTTCGTCATCGCACGCGCTGGGGGGGGGGGGTGGGCGCAGTGGTGAGACTCTTGTTCTCCGGCTGTTTTCGCGTGGATCCGATCGGTCGAGTAAACCGAGCCCGGTGACCGAGAGAGCCACCGATTACTTGAATAACCTGATCACAGCCCGGCCTGTCGCGCACTGGACATCCGTGTGAAAGAGAGCTTTCATAGCCCATCGGATTCCCGCAGTATTAAATAAATATTCCGAATCTTCCGATACACTGCAGGAGCGCTTCCTGACACCGCGGACGCGATGGCGGTGAACGCGTCTCAAATCGTCCTCCGGGTCCTCCCTCCGTGCGTAACGGGGGCGTCGAGCAGCCAGTGGCGGCCGAGCGGTAAGGGTGGGGGAGGAGGGAGAGTGGGGTGGGGGGGGGGAGTGGGGTAGGTAAGGGGGCGGGGTCGGAGGGGGCTCTCGTGGTCAGGGGTCCAGGTGCAGGGACTTGAGTGCATCGTCCGGGTGCGTGGAAAGCGTGGCCATCGCTCCGTCGTTGAACTCGAAGGAGGTTCCGCCATCGAGCACCAGGCAGGCGTCCCAGCACCGCGAGCGAATCGTCATCCTGACGATGGAGACAACAACGATGGCGACGACGACGATCGGCAAGCCACCGAGTGTGCACAACAACAACATCCGGTGACAGGTTTCGCCACGGTGGCTAGGAGATGTTAACTACCTCGCCTGGTATACAGGAGGTCGCGGGTTCGATCCTGACCCTGACGTCTGTATATTCGGAGCATGCGTCTCTCTCTCTCTCTCTCCCCGTGATAGCGTGGATTTTTCCCCGGGTCCTACGGTTTTTCTCTCCACATTTATAATCAATATACATTGAGAGTATTTGGCTGCTAGAAATTTCCACGTGATGAGCCACTTCGTTGAGCTATCATTTGTGGCCAGGTCGTTTCTGAAAAAGAACTATACAGCTCAGCGGGCTTTACCTGATAAAATAAAAAAAATAGTTTAATAGTTAAAACAAATAATGGTGATACCACTGCTGCTGCTGCGTTGCAGTGGTGGATAAGCTTAATGAACACCCCTGTTAACGACTAATCGCTTAATGACGGGCCTCCATAGAGCCTAATGTGTAGTGTATAGTAGTGTATATTGTAGTGTATAGTGTAGTGTATAGTAGTGTATATTGTAGTGTAGTGTATATTGTAGTGTATAGTGTAGTGTATAGTGTAGTGTAGTGTATAGTGTAGTCTATAGTAGTGTATAGTGTAGTGTATAGAAGTGTATAGTGTAGTGTATAGTGTAGTGTATAGTAGTGTATAGTGTAGTCTACAGTAGTGTATAGTGTAGTGTATAGAAGTGTATAGTGTAGTGTATAGTAGTGTAGTGTATAGTGTAGTGTATAGTAGTGTATAGTGTAGTGTATATTGTAGTGTATAGTAGTGTATAGTGTAGTGTATAGTAGTGTATAGTGTAGTGTATAGTAGTGTAGTGTATAGTAGTGTAGCGCCTCCCAATGTATTCGCTTACCGACCATTCACCTTTTAACGACGGACTGTTGTAGGTACAGTAAATATGAATTAATGCATTGATTAACCATGTTTCTCATAATATTGTCTTTATAATGTTAGTATCTTTATGCATAAATATCAATTGTTTAAATATTATAAAGTACGTTTATTGGGTAAAAAAGAGTAACTTTCGATGCTATCGGAACGAATTACGCCTTTAACGTGCATTTCTTATACTCGCTTAACGACCAAATCACTTAAGGATCGGTTTCGTGGAACCAATTGCCGTCGTTAAGAGGGGTTCTACTGGATATAACAGGGAATGTTTCGGGCATCGGCCCTTCGTCACTGGGGTGAGCTACCAGGACCCTTCACCAAATAAACCCTCAGCGCAGCCGGGGTGACGTGCCACAGGTTCATGACCGTGACAGGTGTCCAGACACCTACTGCTGCGTGGGTAAAGTGGGTAACGTGGGTGGTGTGGGTGGCGTGCCGGGTGGCGCACCTGGTGGCGTGGCCGTGCGGGCGCGAGTTGGAGAAAACGCGGTTGACGATCGGTTCCCGGATGCTGAAGAACATCTGCGGCTCTTCAGGGTCAAACACCAGCGAGGAACAATACCGCTCCATCACTAGCGTGGAAAGACAGAGATCCCCCGTATAGCCTTAACAGACTGTTGGGGCAAGTGCTGTTAAAGCGAGTAGCACCTATGAAGGCCCGGCACGGAACGCGAGTGGGTGGGTGGCCAGCACCATGCCCGGCCACCTTTGTCCCCCCGAATGGGCATCGCACCAGGTACTTAATTGAGGCTGAGTCGACCTAGGCGAGGCCCAGGACCGGTTTAGATAATCGTCAATGATGTTGGTCGTGAGCGGGAATTGAATTCAGGTCACCGAGTTCATAGTGCAGTGCACTAACCATTGCACTACTGCTCCCCATCTAGCGCATGCACACACACAAACAATCGAAGATTCTACACACCAACAACTACATTGAGCGATAGCCATAGAATGAGTGTTACCCCCCACCCCCTGGCAAGCGTGGGTTATCTCCGGGCACTCCGGCTTCCTCCCACGTAGACAAACTCTCATTGACGGCGTTGACCAAACATCCACATATAGGATCAAGATAACTTGGGCGATTGCTGGCAGCGGTTCCGATTGCCCTCTTCCCCGTGGTTTCCCGTGCAAAAACCTGGGCCCGTTACAAATTCTACAGTGTTTTGCGATGCAATTTTCGCGAATGACACTGTATAACATAAAACTATTATCATCGCGGTGCACAGGAACGCAACACGCTGATAACAGTCGGCAGTTCAACCCACCACCTTAGCAAGTAAGCTCTTACAACAAGACCCATCGAGAGACTTGCGGGGGCCCTGGTATTTAACGCTGGAAGGGCCCCCCCTCCCCCGTCTCGTGCCGTTTCCTATCACGCTTGTGAAAGGGAGTAACTATGCCCAGGCCTCGTCTGTAGCAGATGATATAATATTTACGAATCCAACGCGTTTGTAAATACAGTAGTGTAGTTGGGGCAGAGAACAAATAGAAATCGTTTTTACGAATGAAATAGGTGGCCGAGATATTAATCGCACATTTACATTATCGCCATCGTCATCGGCCATGATCAATCCGCTGCTGGATGTGAAAGCCCTCGGCAAGCCGTTGGCATCTATCGCGGTCTTCCAAAGCAACGATCCATCTAGTACCTGCACACGAGCTCATGTCATCGCTCTGTCTCCGCAGTGGATGGGGAGGGGCCTTCGTCCATCGGTGGAATGACAAAGAGCAGTTACATTTTTTTATTGACTGAAGACTTGGTCCGCTAAACAAACTTAGCGATGGTCTAAGCGTGACACTGCCACATTCTGAAAATGATGATGATGCTGCCACCTGGGCTCGGCGTAAACAATAAATAAAATATATATTTTATTTGCTTTCATTTTATTTTAATATTTTTTTTCTATCCACGTGACTTTACCGAAAGAACCAAGAATATATTTTATTTTTTTGCAGAAGTGACCTGGCTATCACAAATGATAGCTCGACGAAGTGGCTTTATCATCGTGTGGAAATTTATAGCAGCCAAACACTCAAAGCACATGTTTCTAAATGTGGAGGGATAAACTGGAGATCCCAGAGAAAAATCCATGCGACCACGGGGAGAGAGACATGCACACTCCAAATATACAGCAGGCGTCTGGGTCGGAATCGAACCCACGACCTCCTGCATACCGGGCGAGGGAGTTAACATCTCGCCACAGTGGTGCCCCAACCAAGACCCGTCAAAGGTTCCGCCTTTGCTCATCCTGACAACGTCCTTGGGGACATGAGAAAAGGTGCGTTGCGTACAGGTGGTGTGCGCACGTGTACGGCACTCACACATAGTACGGGGACGCGGGACTGACCTGTCCTGCAGAAATCCGCGTCGTTGGGCATGGACTGTCCACTGATATCGGCAGCTGCAATGATACACAGGTTCACCGGCGAGGTCAAGAACGCACGCTCCTATGCACGCGTGCTACGCGGAACGGACAGCGCGCTGATCCCAGTAGATCATCCCTCCTTCGTAGTTCCACGATGGCAAACGTGGCCCATGTGCGTGCAGCGTATATCGCAACAGACATGTGCATTTAGTATTACAAAAACACGGTTATATCTGTATGGAAGGTGTTTTATTTGTACGGACTAACTAAGCAGATAAATCTCCTCCTTCACGTATCCATCCCTCCACATAAAACAAATGGATAAAAGTAACAAAAATAAGAAATATCCCATCAGCCGTAGGGCCTTCTAGGAGTGCATCAGCTCAGCAGCATTGGTTCAACACAAGCAAACTGGACCAGGTTCTACATTCAGCATCTCATCAGCAGTCAGGCTTGGTTGTGGACAAAAATGTCCTTACCTATTGTTAGAACATCCTGCACCGTTTGACAGCCAATCTTATTGATGTTGTACGACCTGTGGATGACACACGTAGAGCCAAGGGTTATGCAGGATGATCCATTTATAGACACCCCGCCGATTTCCCATGGCCCTCTTACTCCCTTCTCGGAGTGGGGTACAGCAGCAGCCTGCAAGCGGCCCCGCACTCTGGTTCAGTGAGAAACCACGACGAATACCATCATCAGCCTGGCGACCAGAAAACATCGATCGACGATCTTTCACCACCTCCAGCGCATCAACAACCAGACCTTCTCAATGCTTCGTTGAACGCGAGAGTGGGGTTTTGAGATTCGTGGGAGGTCTGTGGGGAGAGGCTTCGAAATCTTATATTTATACAGCGCCTTTATCCAAGGCGCTTTACAAGGGTTATACAATGAGGGTAGCTAAAGGTGATACGGTAAATAGGGATGGGGTACGGGAGATTAGTGGGCACGTGAATTACGGGGGGAATCTAGAAATGGAGGGAATGATGGGCCAGGGAGAAGAGGTGGAGGCCTTGAGGGAGGAGCGGAAACTAGAAGGGAGGGTTTATTTGTTCAACCCCCCCCCCCCCGCTACATGGAGGTATATTTGACCATACTTCCCCATCTGGGAGACACCAAACGACGGTTCACAAATCACTCGCCACTGATATTAGCCATTGCCGCGAGCGGAACTCGGGTCGTCGGGGTTATAGCGCAACGGGCTAACCACCGCGCCACTGCCCCCCCATTAAACAGTACGGGTAGTGTCACACACACACAGGCAAGATAAAAAAAGGCCGGGGCGGTGCACGAAGGGGGTGGGGTGCGGTCAGCACCACGTCCGGCACTGATGTCTTTTACACACCGTGCACCAGGTACTCGTTTAAACGCAAAGACGACCTCGGGGAGACCCAGGACCGGTTGAGGGATTTGCCACCAATGCTGATCGTGACTCGGGAATCGAACTCAGGTCTCCGGGCTCGTAGTGCAGTACCGCCAGCCACCACGCCATCGCTTCCCACACTCGCGCAAACTCGCGCAGCCACGCACAGACATGCGCAGACACGCTCAGAGACGCGAGCATGGCATGGGCCGCAATGCGTTGATACCACTGCAGGCCACGCTGGCGCACAACGTGTGGGGGTCTGCGGAGGCGACAGCAATGGCCTACCAGGCGCTGGAGCCGCTGCCAGTGCACACGCTGATCCCGGAGCTCTTCTGCTTCTCCCAGGGGCCCCCGTCCACGCTTAGCTCGTAGTAGGAGGCCCTGGAGGCACACGGGAATGGGAGATGTGAAGGTCTAAAAAAAGGTCACCACCGACGTTAGCCGCTCCCCGCACGCACACAGGCACACAAAGACACCCTATGTAGCCCACGCAGGCTGTCGGGGGAAGGTGCTGTTAGCGAGCACCTATGAAGGCCGGAACGGCAAACGAGGGTGGAGATGGCAGGCACTGCTCCCGGCCACTTTGGCCTCCCCACCTTCCCAGTGCTGATGTTTACACACTGCAACAGGTACTCATTTAAGGCTGATTTCGCTGTAGACAGATGTGGGGCACACTGTGTCTCGGCATAGCAGTCACCTGGAGGAGATGGACTCGCCAATGTAGACTTCGTTCAACGCGCACACAGGAAGTCGCTTGGGCCCGCTCACCAACCCCAGTGTCGACCCTGCCGACACAACAACACCAACGCCGAGATCGTCACCAGCCATGCTTTATCCACTGCCAGACGGAGCCCTCCTGAAGCATTCGGCAGCTATCACCAGCCGAGTCCATCGCTCCATCTCTCCGCGGCGGACGTGCTCACGGGCGCGTTCCCTCCTTTGGCTGCCGCTCCATCGCTTGTCTCAACCGCCGTCGTCAGCTCTTCTCGCCGTGCCCGAGGCCGCTCCCCTTTCTCGACAGTTCACACGATGTCCATAACGCGCGTGAACTCTTTAATCCATGCATTCCTCTCCTCCTGCCTTTCGTTGCTAACTCCAAGCATGTATCTCTCCGGACTCATTTGTGCCCTTTTCATCTTTTTCCCCATTTTCTTTGTCAATGTGCAGGTTCCTAACCCATCTGTGGAGCTATTTTTGTTTGTATTCATCCGTATGACTCCATTACCCTGGGTGCTGCATACGTCACATCCTCCCAACCAAGCCCTCATTTACACACCGAGCGGTGGACTCACCTTGAGACTGCACACTAGACCAATCCAGGAAAAACAAAGCCAGCTGGCCCAGCACCCTTTCCGTAGCACATGCGAATGCAGCACAACGCTTCATGAACATACATTTCACCTGTCGGTACCGCCTGCGCTGCCGTGACCTTAGCTGGTTCCAATTTATTTACGCGGCCAATAACAGCGAATCAAATGATAACCATTTGAAACGAGTGGGGTTATCCAAGAGTTCCCCTTCTCTTTAACGCATACATACACTGGCACGACTGAAGTTTTTCTACGTTAGGCGGTACCGGTTTCTGCTCTGGCCCGTGGACTACAAGGTGGCACCAAGTGGCGCAAGGAGCCCGCACAACCGCCCGCCCGCCTACCTGCCCACCCGCCTGTCCGCCCGGTCACCTGCGTGTTTGGCAGCGGCGGCTAGGTGCGCTGAACGGTGTTGCGCCAGGCTCAGCTGCTGCTCGTGGAGGTCCACGGGCACGAGTCCAAGCCCCGAGCCGTCCGTCTCGACGCGGATGCGCTGGCGCCAAAGGTACCTGGCCGCGATCGGGTCGCAGGCGCGCCAACACGAGTCTGGGTCAGAGGGCCGCCTCGTGGACCGATTTCGTTGGCGAATAATGGTGGCCAAGAGGGGTCACACTAGTCCCGTCGTCAAAAGACTCCAACTTTTCTGTGATTACCAATGTTTTTGTTTCTTTGTACTTCAGAGAAGAGATAGTGAATGGCAGATGAGAAGAGGCCTGGACCTGAGCACAGGGTTAAACCAGGAAGTCGTGATTTCTTGGTTTCTGACCTGAAGTTGCTTGGCGCACACTCCAGGGAAACGGCGCGTAACTAATCGAGACCGCATTTGATTGTGAGAACCCTTCAACTCATGGTGAATTGAGTGACCTTCATCGATAATGATCGGCATGTGAAACGCCTACGCACATGATAATTTAATTTGTTTGGCTACGTAGGGCGGTGGAGCGTTACACAAATAACGTTCGGCCAGACCCGTCACGTGGCCGAACCAAAAAAAACAACTACAAACCGTGGCATTGGCTGTGATAAGCCTACTAAGACGTTGTGTTGCAGTGGGCACGCCCAATGGGTGCGGCCTTAGCGGGCCACGTGCACGCCCGACACTCACCTGAAATCACCTTTCTGTAGCTTCTGCAGCGCGAGGGGCATGTTGGTGGTGTAGCAGACGGGCAGGCACAGGTGGCCCTGAGACCTACGACAAACGGCAACAACAGCGGTAGCTTAACAACACCGGCAAGCGATCCCCCGGCTCAACACGATTAGCACCGTTGGCTACGTACGGTGCGAAAGAAGTTCAACATACATACAACCGTGAATTCATACTAAAATGAGCAATGAAGTATGAATGCTCATCTACTTTTTTATGAGTGCTGAGCCAGTGGAGGTAATTCCATGTTCCTATGGCAGGGGCGGGTTTTTCCATAGGACAACCACCACTGACTTCGCCCTAAATAGATGTTCACTTTTATTGACTTCGGAGGGATGACGGCAGGCCGAGTCAACCCCTGCCAATCAGGATTTGACCTTGTAACCTTCCGATTGGCAAAAAGAATAAATCGAATGTTTAGTTGTATATAGCAATGTCGTCGTTCATGCAAATTGCATCTCGCAGTTCTCTACATGTTAAGTTTTTTCAGCCAATTAGTGAGTGTTTATACTGCACGTCGGAGCAAATCGGAGCATCCGGAGAAAACCGACGAATTTTAGCGGGGGGGGCGATCAGGATCGTGCAATACATTATTTTGGTGGCAAGGCGGTGCATTGGTAACACTTGTGTGTTACAGCGAGAAGGGACTTGGGTTTGATTCCCAACTTTGGTGCTTTTCTGTAAGGAGTTAATTTGTTCTCCCTGTTCTGCATGGGTTTCCTCTGGTTTCTCCAGTTTACTTCCGTAAAGAAAACGCCAAAACTGTTATTGGCCAAAATTGTTATTGGCCCGATGCTGAAAATTTACACTGCAAATTACGCATTTGGGATTACACACAGAGGAGCAACATCGCCCCATACTGCGTAACCTTTGGCAGGACCCTCCTGAAACAGTCTTGAGACTCAGTGAGGTTGTCCTGGGTAAACAAGCGTAATAATGAAAACAGTAATAATAATAATTTGCCAGTGACGTCGGCTGTGGTCGGGAATCAAACTAAAGGTTACCAGGTTCCTAGCAGCAGAGTGCGCTAACCACGGCGCCACCACTCCACACCACCGCCTCACTGCACGGTGGCGTAGCCCTTGAAAACGTTCAAAAGCAATCCGATGGGCGCGTACCTCTCCGGGTCGGTGTTGACACCAATGACTAGTTTCCGGGGGTCATGGACCTTGCTGGCCGCCAAGAGCAGCGTGCCGTCGCCTGCCGCAAAAGCAGAGAGCAAACACAACACACGCCTCCGTGAGCACTCTCAGGGGACGCTGCCACATGGGAATCGTAACTCATTCTGCCCGGCAGAGGTATGACAGTTCTGGGCAGGGGGTGGGGAAGGGCCGGTTCTGATATCACTCACCACTGCGACATTCACCACGCCATTGCACCGACACCCGCGCCACCGACCGCTCCACGCTTATTTGTGCGACACTAGAACAATACGCCAATGCTGCATTTAGGCCAACGAATTGAACAAAAGTATGCGAACGAGACGCAGCAAAGGAGGAACAATACAAACGAGGTGACCAGGGGCGTAGCGTGGTTGGCATGTGCCCTGGTGCAAGAAATGATATGCCCCCCTGTCCCCCCCCCATCCAATGTCACCCCCCCTCCATCACCTCTTCTAATCCCAGTGACTGGACGCATCCGGCCCGTGGGCCACGGTGGATTTGCACCGCACGCACACTCGATAGCTACGCCACTGTCGGCCGCCTTGACTGAGAGAAACGATTGCTCATCGCCGCGTTGGCGTAGGGCCATGCACCACGATGCACTTGGGCACGGGGACTTGGCAAACGAGCTCGCCGGCGCGCCCCCCCCCCCCCCAACGCACGCACCTCCCGCAGAGATGATGGTGTCAGCCCAACTGACGTCATGCTCGCAGTAGTCGTGCCTCTTCACCACCCGCACCTCCACGCCGCTCTCCCTGCAAGACAACGCGCGTATGATGGCGCAACAACGATTTCTGAATCCATCTGCGTGGAGCTCTGCACATGATTCCCTGCGTACGCGAGGTGGGGGCTTCTCTGCGTTCTGCCGGGTTCTCCGAGTTTCCGTCCACACGATGCCAAACGCCCGTGAACGCAATCGGCCAAACATCGGCGATGTAGCGGGAACCTCCTGGAAATGAGTGTCGAGACTCAGTGACGGTTTGCCTGGGTAGATTCAAGGACATTATTTTACAGGGGGAAACGATGGTGCATTGGTTCGTGCACCGCACGATAAACCCAGCAACACGAGTTTGGGAGTCCCTGGCGAGCAATATCTGAACCGAGACTAGGCAAGCCGTTCACTAACCCACCGTAAGCAGCACGGTGAAGTATGGTCAAATATTCCCAATGACCGACATGGCGTGGGGAGGCCTACATCCAGCAGTGGATTGGCAGAGGGGCTGTAAATGATCAATTATTAATTTATGAAGAACATAATGGGTTCATGCAACCCCCGCAGCCACCAGGTGCACCTAGAGTCACCACAATAACTCAAACAAATGAATTAATCACTGAACCGGTATCTCTTCATTGCATCACTCAGGGAGGGGTGGAGGAGAGGGAATTTATCAACTCTGCAATGTAAAACCTGCCCCGAAGGGGACTTTTATAAATACATTTGGCAGGCAAGACAAAGATCCCCCGTATAGCCTTTAACAGACTGTTGGGCCAAGTGCTGTTAGCGAGCACCAATCAAGGCCGGCACCGCACAAGAGGTGGGTGGGTGGTCAGCACCACGTCCGGCCGTCTTCGTAACCCGAGTGGGGATGTTTACACAACGCACCAGATATTCGTTTGAGGCTGAACCGATCTAGGGGAGGCCCAGGACCTGTTCAGATAATCGTTCCTTGGCGTTGGCTGTGAGCGGGAATCGAACTCGGGTCATCGGGTTAGTTGCGCAAGCGTGCTAACCACTGCACCACCGCTCCCACTTGGCGGGCAACAACACATTAACACACACACACACACCTTGGTCACTTGTGTCACTGCAAGCCGGTCCTTGCAGTGACGCAAGTGACTGACACACAGACAAAATTAGAAACACGGTGTTGTTGCCAATTTCGTGCAGCTCAGGAAGCTCGGAGTGGCGCCCAGACAATGTTTGCAGGCCGTTACAAAGGCGTTCGGTCCTTTTATGTGACCGCAAGCCACACGCAACTAATTTGCGGGCGAAAATTCAGCGTGCGGGCCGGGGGGCGAAGTGAAGTCTTGGGTCGTGTCTGGCCCCCCACGTGCCGTAGGGGTCCCCACCACCACCGCCGCTGCTGTGCAAGACAGCAGCAGAGGTCGGCACGTACTGCAAGCTGCTGATGAGGTGAAGGACGTGCTTTCGGTGGACGTGGTAGCGCTCCAGAAGGCCGCCGTAGTTGGAGCCCCGCAATGCCAGCTAGCGAGAACAAGCGCACAGAAAGAGACTGAACTCAACAACAAACTATAAACTACATCTTTTTTTTACTTGAGCGTATTGGCACAAGACAAGAGGAAAGTGGAAACAAATGGCATGTACAGGGGACACCTACGGGCTATCTGCCCATGGATGGTGATGATATTTTTTTTATTTTACCAGGTAAGGCCTACTGAGCTTTACAGCTCTTTTTCAGAAGCGACCTGACCACAAATGATCGCTCAACGAAGTGGCTCATCACGTGGAAATTTACAGCGGTCAAACACTCTCAACGCATGTCTCTAAATATGAAGGAAAAAAACCGCAGGACCCGGAGAAAAATCCACACGACCACAGGGAGATAGACATTCAAACTCCAAATATACAGCAGACATCAGAATCGAACCCACTACGACCTCCTGTATACCAGGCGAGGTAGTTAACATCTTGCCACTGTGGCGCTCTGAATCGTCAAAAGTTGCAACAGCATACCTGTCAACCCATCCGTTTAACACTTATTCTTGTACAGGGAAATCTATATTCTTGGTTCTTTCGGTAAAGTCACGTAGAAGGGAAACAATCAAATAAAAATATAAAACAATAAAATTATCATGACGTTTCGACTGCAACACAAGCAATCATCATCAGATGTGAAAACCTGAAGCAATCATCATCAGGTGTGAAAACCACACCTGATGATGATTGCTTGTGTTGCAGTCGAAACGTCGTGAGAATTTTATTGTTTTATATTTTTCTTATTTTATTGTTTCCCTTCTACGTGACTTTACCGAAAGAACCAAGAATATGAATCCCTGCAGTCACGAAAGCTTTAAATCAGGGAAATCTAGTTTTACAGGTCCACACAGCGTACAGCCGTTTATATACGGGCAAAGTCATGTTTGTGTCAATTTGTTTGTGTTTCTCCCTTGTGATGGGACTTTGTAGGATGAACGTTGAGATTTATGAGGGCACGGGGTGACCAGTAAGGTCTGAATTGGTCTGTAATAAGGTAGGGCACTGATAAGGGGTTGACAACAATGCAACAGTCTCAATAGATTTTCCCGCACAAACGTTGCGATTCAGGGTGAGTGAGTGTGGTGTGTGTGTGTTGAGTGCGTGGTGTGTGTTGAGTGTGTGGTGTGTTGAGTGTGTGTGTATTGAGTGTTGTTGGGTGTTGAGTGTGGTGTGGTGTCCTCCCGGCTCTGCACACACCTGTAGTTTGCATGTTTTTTTTGTTGTGTTGTACGGCAAGATGTTACGGTGAATGAGCCGAGGTAAGTCAGGGTTAGTGCGTCCGGTGTGTGTGCGAGTGTTGTGGCGAGTGCGCAGAATATGTTGTTAATGGTGTTTGTGAGTTTATCCGCACCGATGAATTCCTCAAGGTGAGGCGGGACTTTGTGAAGTGTGTATGGTGAGTGCGGTGAGCGAGTCAGCGTTGAGTGTGCATGGTGTGGTGAGTGTGTGGTGCTGAGCGAGTGTCCATATGCAGCAGTGTATCGCACGGTATTTGTGCTTATGTTGCGCATTATCTACTAACGATATTTGTGCTTATGTTGCGCATTATCTACTATAATCATCCACAAATGTGTCCGTCCCGTGAGTGACGTCACTCAGCATGAGGCCCACCGCCCCGCGTGACGTCACTCCACATGAGGCCCACCCTCTCTCATTAATATTCATTAGTGGGTGGATGTTTACACGAACGCAGAGGAAGGTCGAGCTGAATGAAATAATTTATGACGCAAAGTCGCTTCAAATATGACGTTTCTTTACAGAAAGTGACGGCAAAAAAAATAAATCTATGCAGTATAGTGCTACATCCGTGTGTGACGTCACTGCAAAAGAGGCCCCCCCCTTCATTAATATTAATGCACGCGTGGAAATTTACATAACCGCACATAAAGGTCACGCACTCCACATGCCGCACCCCTCCACAATAACCATGAGGCGGTGACGTCACTCCACATGCCGCACCCCTCCACAATAACCATGAGGCGGTGACGTCACTCCACATGCCGCACCCCTCCACAATAACCATGAGTGACGTCACTCCAAATGCCGCACCTCTCCACAATAACCATGAGCGGGTGACGTCACTCCACATGCCGCACCACTCCACAATAACCATGAGCGGGTGACGTCACTCCAAACGCCGCACCCCTCCACAATAACCATGAGGGGGTGACGTCACTCCACATGCCGCACCCCTCCACAATAACCATGAGGGGGTGACGTCACTCCACATGCCGCACCCCTCCACAATAACCATTAGCGGGTGACGTCACTCCACATGGGGCAACGCCCCCCTCATTAATAATCATGAGCTGAACAATTTTTCTATTGAATATTTCAGATTGACTGTAATACACACAGCCGTCCTTGGACGTGCAACAAAGCTAGTGGTTACGATGTACACGGTTGGTGCATGCGTCTCTGCATGGTGAGCACACAGCGAAGGGTCCTCATTAGTTGCCTAAAGTTCTCCTCGGAGAGAGGGTGAGGAGTGTGGTGATGAGTGTGGTGAGTGGTTGGTGAGTGGTTGGTGCATGTGTCTGTATGGTGAGCACAGGGTGAGGGGTGTGGTGAGGAGCGTGGTAAGTGGTTGGTGCATGTGTCTGTATGGTGAGCACAGGGTGAGGAGCGTGGTGAGTGGTTGGTGAGTGGTTGGTGCATGTGTCTGTATGGTGAGCACAGGGTGAGGAGCGTGGTGAGGAGCGTGGTGAGTGGTTGGTGAGTGGTTGGTGCATGTGTCTGTATGGTGAGCACAGGGTGAGGGGTGTGGTGAGGAGCGTGGTGAGTGTTTGGTGAGTGGTTGGTGCATGTGCCTGTATGGTGAGCACAGGGTGAGTGGTTGGTGAGTGGTTGGTGCATGTGTCTGTATGGTGAGTACAGGTTGAGGAACGTGGTGAGTGGTTGGTGAGTGGTTGGTGCATGTGTCTGTATGGTGAGCAGCGTGGTGAGGAGCGTGGTGAGTGGTTGGTGCATGTGTCTGTATGGTGAGCACAGGGTGAGGGGTGTGGTGAGGAGGGTGGTGAGTGGTTGGTGCATGTGTCTGTATGGTGAGCACAGGGTGAGGAGCGTGGTGAGTGGTTGGTGCATGTGTCTGTATGGTGAGCACAGGATGAGGAGCGTGGTGAGTGGTTGGTGCATGTGTCTGTATGGTGAGCACAGGGTGAGGGGTGTGATGAGTGGTTGGTGAGTGGTTTGTGCATGTGTCTGTATGGTGAGCACAGGGTGAGGGGTGTGGTGAGGAGGGTGGTGAGTGGTTGGTGCATGTGTCTGTATGGTGAGCACAGGGTGAGGAGCGTGGTGAGTGGTTGGTGCATGTGTCTGAGTGGTGAGCACAGGGTGAGGAGCGTGGTGAGGAGTGTGGTGAGTGGTTGGTGAGTGTTTGGTGGATGTGTCTGTATGGTGAGCACAGGGGGAGGAGCGTGGTGAGTGGTTGGTGCATGTGTCTGTATGGTGAGCAGAGGGTGAGGAACGTGGTGAGTGGTTGGTGAGTGGTTGGTGCATGTATCTGTATGGTGAGCACAGGGTGAGGGGTGTAGTGAGGAGCGTGGTGAGTGGTTGGTGCATGTGTCTGTATGGTGAGCAGAGGGTGAGGAGCGTGGTGAGTGGTTGGTGAGTGGTTGGTGCATGTGTCTGTATGGTGAGCACAGGGTGAGGAGCGTGGTGAGTGGTTGGTGAGTGGTTGGTGCATGTGTCTGTATGGTGAGCACAGGGTGAGGAGCGTGGTGAGGTGTGTGGTGAGTGGTTGGTGAGTGGTTGGTGCATGTGTCTGTATGGTGAGCACAGGGTGAGGAGCGTGGTGAGTGGTTGGTGCATGTGTCTGTATGGTGAGCACAGGGTGAGGAGCGTGGTGAGTGGTTGGTGCATGTGTCTGTATGGTGAGCACAGGGTGAGGAGCGTGGTGAGTGGTTGGTGCATGTGTCTGTATGGTGAGCACAGGGTGAGGAGCGTGGTGAGTGGTTGGTGCATGTCTGTATGGTGAGCACAGGGTGAGGAGCGTGGTGAGTGGTTGGTGAGTGGTTGGTGCATGTGTCTGTATGGTGAGCACAGGGTGAGGGGTGTGGTGAGTGGTTGGTGCATGTGTCTGTATGGTGAGCACAGGGTGAGGAGCGTGGTGAGTGGTTGGTGCATGTCTGTATGGTGAGCACAGGGTGAGGAGCGTGGTGAGTGGTTGGTGAGTGGTTGGTGCATGTGTCTGTATGGTGAGCACAGGGTGAGGAGCGTGGTGAGTGATGTGGTGAGTAATGTGGTGAGTGTTGTGGTGAGTGTTTTGGTGAGTGTTTTGGTGAGTGTTTTGGTGAGTGTTGTGGTGAGTGATGTGGTGAGTGATGTGGTGAGTGTTGTGGTGAGTGATGTGGTGAGTGATGTGGTGAGTGATGTGGTGTTGTGGTGAGTGATGTGGTGAGTGTTGTGGTGAGTGATGTGGTGAGTGTTGTGGTGAGTGATGTGGTGAGTGTTGTGGTGAGTGATGTGGTGAGTGATGTGGTGAGTGATGTGGTGAGTGTTGTGGTGAGTGATGTGGTGAGTGTTGTGGTGAGTGTTGTGGTGAGTTGTGTGGTGAGTGTTGTGGTGAGTGTTGTGGTGAGTGATGTGGTGAGTGATGTTGTGAGTGTTGTGGTGAGTGATGTGGTGAGTGTTGTGGTGAGTTGTGTGGTGAGTGTTGTGGTGAGTGATGTGGTGAGTGATGTGGTGAGTGTTGTGGTGAGTGTTGTGGTGAGTGATGTGTGTTGTGGTGAGTGATGTGGTGAGTGATGTGGTGAGTGTTGTGGTGAGTGATGTGGTGAGTGTTGTGGTGAGTGATGTGGTGAGTGTTGTGGTGAGTGTTGTGGTGAGTGTTGTGTGTTGTGGTGAGTGATGTGGTGAGTGTTGTGGTGAGTGATGTGGTGGGGGTGGTAAATGCACATGAAGCGTGCAGGATTAAGGTGAGAGAGCGCGCCACAGGGTCACTCGCCAAATGGTGAGTGCGAGCGCCTGTTGCTCACCAGCTGCCTGAGGTCCTCCTCGGACAGGGCGGCGCATTTGTATCGCTGCTGCTCGAACTCGTAGCGGGTCGTCTTCTCGAGCACCAGAGCCCGAGACACGCGGGGCGGCTCCGCGGAGCCCGCGCCTCGCCTGCCCGGCCCGCCGGGGAAGTGACGCCTCGCCGGGCCGTCGCAGCCCGACCGACCGCCCTCGGCGTCCACGCGGCCCGATGATCTCGCGGCCGCCGACGTCGCCTCTCCGATAGACGCAGCCAAACCGGGTGGTGACGGTGGTGGTGGTGATGGTGGTGGTGAAGTGTGGGGACAGGGAGAGACGCTCAGGGCTCTGCGGCCCAGCGGGGATAAGAGGAACCTCGAACAGAGAAGTAGTCGCATGGCACCGCCGAATGAGTCCGAGGGGAGTCCGATTGTCCCCTCCTCCTCCACCACCACCACCACGCGCGACCACCTCTCCTCCTGTCACCCTTCTTCCTCCGACTGTTCCCCACTCCTCTCCTTTCCTATCAGCTCGAGCCCAGCAAGTGCTCTCTCACCTCCCCCCCCCACACCGTGGTCTCCACCACCAGTTTGTCAACCCCGCTCTCTCCTCCTCCCCGCTCCTCTCTTCCTCATTCCTGGCTGCCCCGAGTCCTCTCCTCGGTCCTGTTCTTCCAAAGTCCTTCAGTCGTCTGAACTCCTGTCCTTCAGTTCTCAAAGTCCTCACCTACTGCCCCCTCTATTCCTCAAGTCTCCGTTAACCCTCCTCCCAAATCTTCAAGTCCTCGTCATATCCACACCAACTCCTCTCTCATCATCCTGTCTTCCACAATACCTATTCTCTCTCCTCCCACTCCCAAATCATTTCACTAATCAAGGACCCTGACTGTACTTTTAAAACTATAAATTTTTAATTTATTTTACCAGGTAAGGCCGACTGAGCTTAAGTTGTTTTTAAGAAGCGACCTGGCCACAAGTGATAGCTCAACGGAGTTGGCTTATCGTGTGGACATTTATAGCAGCCAAATAATCTTAAGAGAACACGCAAATTATACAGCAGGCGTCAGGATCGAACCCACGGCCTCCTGCATACCAGGCGAGGAAATTAACATCTTATTTTGTCTTTAAATAGTCTACAGTTGTATTTCAATCACATTTTAATTGACAATCTGGGTTATTGTGGCGGGCCCATCAATGAGTAAAACATCAAGAACACAAAAACGACGTATTCCCTCAAATGCTTGAAGCTGTTTAATAAGTACAGAATATTTACACACGTTAAAAGAAGAATATAAATACCGAATATGGTGATTGCAAGTCATACATTACCATTAATAAACTATGGTCCTGTCCCTGCAGATTTACGGCAAGAAAATTGGTCTTTGATTATTACCCTAACCTGAAGCCCTGAGCAAAAACTAACCCCTGAGCCAAACCCTTAACTATAACCCCTAACTCCCAACCAAAACTTTGGCCTAAACCTTAAGTATAATCTTAATTCCCAACACTAGAACCTAAAACAATAGGGTTAAAGATGTGCATTCAGTTTCAAGGCGATTGTTTAACTGGGCGAAGAACTCGATACCAGGATGAGTCTCCTTTGCAAGCTTGACCTGGGGCAAGGAATCTTTCTCCTAATAATGGGGAATGAATACGGTTTAAAATCTAATTTCAACACGTAGGCTTTTGCGTCTATAATAGAGAGGGGGGGGGGAGGGGGTCAGATCGTGCAATTTCCATCTAACCCAAAAAAACGTATAAAATCCCATTTAGTTTTATCCGGTAAGGTCTTTTATTTTTCGATTTAAAGCTTTCGTGACTGCAAGGATTCATCTTCTTTGGTTCTTTCGGTAAAGTCACGTAGAATGAGAATAAAATAAAATAATACAATAAAATTCTCACGACGTTTCGGCCACAACGCAAGCGGCCGTCTTCACCCGAAGACGGCCGCTTGCATTGAAAACCCCACCTGAAGACGGCCGCTTGCGTTGTGGCCGAAACGTCGTGAGAATTTTATTGTGTTATTTTATTATTTTATTCTCATTCTACGTGATTTTACCGAAAGAACCAAAGAAGATGGGTCTTTTATTGTTTTATTTTATCTACGTGACTTTACCGAATAAAACCAAAGAGTATGAATCTTTACAGTCACGAAAGCTTCAAATCTAGAAAATCCCATTTGTTTCATTTGTGGTTAACTTTCGAATTTGGCAAATGTTGGACCTTGGCGCCAGCACACAATGGCTTTCTCTTGCCAATTACATCAGGGGACCTTTAACGTCCAATGTGAAACAGATGGCATGTAGTAGTAGGACAGTACTGTATTCTGGTTATTACACCCACGGTAATATGCCTCAGCATCTCAAAGCGCCTTATGTAAAAAAAACTAATTTCAACCATTCTATTCCATTGCCCTGTGGCAGTCTGGGAGAGATCAAACATTACATCATCAACAACGTGTATATTATTGTGCCCCCCTGATGTAAGACATCTCAGAGCGCAGTTGATTTAGTCTAGGGGACCCCAAGCGGCAACTGTCCCCACGCAGCACGTGTACGTATGATGAACTTGTTTCACACCGTACGTAAGCCAACCGTGCTGATCGGAGGTGCAGCACCAGCCTGCAAATGGGTATTGTCCACCAGTCTTGTTTGTTTTTATGCTGCCCTTTGTCAATTTCACTGCTATGTTCCTGATGAAACCCTAACCCCAAACAACACTAAACCTGAACCAAAAACCAAGGAAGGTCCGTCATTGGACGAAAACCTGCAGGGACAACTGTGCCACTCAATTTATTTCACCCGCAATCTACAGAGATGGCAGGTAGTCCACTACCTTAATAAAATACACAATCATATCACCGACAAAATGTACATGTAATCGTTTAAAAAGAAAACCCCACAGTGTACTTGCAAAATGAGTCCATTCACCAAATTTGTTACATTTTATACAGTAGTTCCATTAGTCCATTAACCTGAGCTGTAGCAGTAGGAAACACACATAACTCACGTGCGCGTACGATTCACTCGACACTTGCATACGGTACTCAAAAAAATCCACGCACGCATGAGTCATCGTCACGTTATGCAAAATAAATATCTTGTAGAATGTACGTAAATGATCAATGTGCAGTGATTTCCTCTCGTGCATCACAATCACCCGCCCCCCGCCCACTTAACAGATGCAAGGCTAAAAGTCAGAAGTTATACAAAAAATAAAAAGACACCGTTCCCTGTATGTGCAACTTGTAGATACCAGCAATCGCACGTCCATAGCAGCCAACAGAGAGATGTGCGGTGGAGTCGCGACCGTAATTCGCACGGTCACTGTCGCACGCCGAATGACCAACAACGCCTGGAAAAGCACCCGATCTCATCGGAGCTTGGAAGCTAAGCGTGGCCTGGCCTGGCTGGTGCTTGGACAGGCGACCGCCACGCGCACCACAGCTTGTTATAGGCTGTGGGGTTATGTGGTGGGCAGCACGGCGCTCCATTGCGCAACTGTACTTCACTACTCTCAAATACTCCCCCCTGCCTTAACCCAACCCCTGCTGACCAGCATTGAAGCACGGTCAAACAAACTCCGCAAGTCCGCATGGTGCGTTAATGCCTTCATCCAGCAGTGCATTGACACAGGACGGTAGAACGTACGAAACCTGTTGCACACATTTACGCGAGGCCACAACCTCGCCCAAAATCTAAAGCTACCAATTTTCTTGGGAGGCTCCGCCAGGGCACAGTTGTGGGGGGCTGGAACCCCTTCCTGGCATCGACTTCCACCCAACATAAGAGTGGGCCTCAGTCTTTCCGACACAGGGCCTCACCCATTGCTCATAGGCCTCGCCTACTCTTCTCTGTCGACCCTGCCCACTGCACCGGGTAGCCCCACCCGTTGCACGTGTCATCACAAGGGCCAGAACATTTTAAACCCGCAGAGAAAATCCCCATTTACACAGAAGCGTCCGGAGGACACCAGGACAGCTTTTATGAAATTGAGGTGAGTGTCCCTGCCAAATCAGAAGGTCTGGTTACATTCCATAAACCCCTTAGGTCAGGCACCAATTGAGAGCTACTTACCAACCAGCTAACCTTACAAACCCTGCCGGTCCACGTCACGACACGTTTGTCAGCGGCACACACCTCGGACAGTTGTAAACATAACGCAGGAAGCCAACGCGAATGTTTCTACAGCCCGTGCGATAGAGACTGAATCGATCCCAATACAGTAAGTCCACATTAAACCGTCCAATTGCATTGCATCATTGCATCAGCATTGCGACAACAACAAAAACTCACAACCGACATGTCCTCTGATGGTGTAAATGTACAGCAGCCAAGCTTTTTGTTGCCTCTTGGGCCAGTGGTAGCCAGCGATTGGCCAAAATTGGGTATATTTATTCTGGGAGTGGAAAGATTAAACCGTTCCCTGATTGAACGAATTGTCACGATTCTGGGTCGTGATTCAATAATCAATTAGTATTTGTAGCACCTCTTTACATCAGAGAACAGTTCTCACCGAAGTGAGTACTCACAGAAGCGGACTTTCCAACCTGTTGTGCCACAGAGTGGTGTTTATCACATGAAAGTAAAACCAATACATTTAATTCTTAGAGTGCGCAGTCATTGGTGACCATTAATGCACCGGGCCACCATTTTACAAAGCATTAAATGGCAGCGCGTCTAGTGGATTTGGTGGCAATTGAAAAACATTTACCCTTGCACAATTCAACGCATGTTTCGTGAACTTAAGAACCCATACGGACGAGTGTCGATGTTCTCGCGAGCACTAGCAAGGATAAAACTGCCGTAGAGTTGCCTCGTTACCCATCTGCAGCCTAAATTTAAAAAAATGCCAGTCGGTTCTCTTGCATTGGGTGGCCATCACAAGGCTGCGCGTCAACGCTTTGACAAGGAGCAACTGCAACGCGATCTCGCTGAGCGGCGGAAAAATATCTTGCGACCGCTTAAAAAAATAAAAACAACAACAACAACGTGGGCTCCGAACGAGTAAGCAGGTCACCGTCCGTGCTACAAGGGACACACGCTGTTGACGTTGAGCAGCACTGGCTCGAGAGGCTGAGTGTCGTCCGGCTCGTCGATGCACAGGCGGTAGCCGCAGCCCTTGCGCTGCACCTTCTGCAGCGGCGTGACGCGGCGGCCCCGCGGCGGCAGCAGGAAGGACAGCGAGCCGGCGATGAGCATGTGCCAGAGCGAGTGCGTGTAGTAGTAGTTCTTGTCCGTCTCCACCACCACGTAGAGCATCACGGCCGTCAGCGCGATGACGGTGCCCGGCAGCAGGAAGAAAACCCACCGGCGCCACGACGGCGGGTAGCAGTGCCGGCGCCGCACCATCCGCACCGCCTGCGCGCGGGCGCAACAACGCAAACACGAGAGCCGCATTACACCACACGCAACCTGCCAATCGACCGCGGTGTACCCATCTATACCACTGGGTAGACAGAGATGGTGGGACGTGGGGGGGTGAAATTTAGTCAATTAGTTTCAACTGCCGTGCCGGGAGATCAAACCGAACCGGCGACCCCCCGGATTGGAGAGTTCCCTTGGCGTAATGATTCCGCCGAGGGGTTGCCACGCTCTCTCGTGGCGGTGGTGTGGCTGGCTGTGGTTGCTGTATGGTGGCGGTGCGGTGCCTTGCCCAAGCGATCGCCAGCAACACGAGGGCAAAGAGCGTCGGCCCCAGCAGGTTCCACAGTCCGTGTCGGTCCATTTGCACCACCATGGCGAGCACGAGCGCTCCGAGCAAGTACAGCACCTGCGGCGGCAACGCATCAACGTCACAAGGCAGCGGTGGCCAGCACGTGGATCGCGAACAAAATCAAAACAAACACTAACATAGGCAGACAACATTCATTAGGGCCGATGGCAAATAACAATCCGCGAATAGGAATTCGTACGCAAAAAAACAAATTTCTCCCTAGAGACGATGCTAGTACATTATTGGGTAGAGGAGGGTGTACGACACAACATTTTCCTTTCGTGATCTGACCAAACCAAAAGCCATTTGTTGAGTGTTGAATGTGGCCACACACAGGAGGCGACTGGCTGACGTTGCGCTGAGCGTGTGGCTTAGTTCCCAGGTACGAACCTCTTTGGCAACGGTCTGCAGGCGAGCCATGCAGATGAGGGTGACCCAAACGCACATGAGGGAGCCGAAGAAGTCGCAGTACTGCAGCACGTCGTAATCCATGATGCACAGCACAGTCACCCCGGGCTGGTCGCAGGCGTGGTAAAACTGCAAACAACACAAGAGATCCCCCCATGAAGCCTACATCGACCGTTGGGGCAAGAGCTGGTTAGAGAGTAGTAGCTGCTGATGTTTAGACACCGCCGCACCAGGTAATCATTTAAGCCTGAGTTAACCTATGGGACCAGTTAGAGATAACACTCGCCACTGATATTACCAGTGGTTGAGAATGGAACTCGGGGTCACTGGGTTAGTAGCGCAGTGCACTTAACCCCAACATCGCCGCTCTCTACATACCCTCGGGGCAATTGCCATTAGCGAGCACCTGTCAGCACATTCTTACCGCTCCCCATGCCACAAAGACAAAAGATCCTCCATTTTAGTTTTAATATACTGTTGGGGCAAGTGCTGTTAACGACTACCTATGAAGGCCGGCACGGCACACAAGGGGGTGGGTGGCCAGCACCACGCCCAGCCGCCTTTGCCTACCGAGTGGCAATGTTTACACACCGGATCAGGTACTCATTTGAGGCTGAGTTGACCTGAGAGAGGGCCCGAGACCAGTTAAAATATTCGCCACTGTTATTTGATCGTGGGCGGGAATCGAACTCAGGTCACCAGATTGGTAGTGCAGCACGCTAACCGCTGTGCCGCCGCCTCCCCACGCCACACATGCACAAACACGCCCATACACATAGAATTAACAGTGCATTACTTAACCATTTTTGTATAGTCAACATGCGGATTTTTCAACTCACATTAACAAGGTAATGCCATAGTTTCCACCATATGACAGAACCAATAAAGATCAAGTGACATGTGAGCCAGACTAACAAGTTGGTTTGATTGGCTCTATCGGGCAGAGATAAAAGTCGGCATTATACCTCCACGGTCTCACCCAAGAAGTAACGAATCATAAATCATAACGTTGGTCGTCAAAAAATCCTATGTACAAAGCTAAAATAATGCTGTTTACATCTACGAAGGACGCCGTACAGTCCTCACCTGCGGGTATTTTTATACTAGACAGCACAAGTCGAGGCATGTGCAGGGCATGCAGCTTCAAAGTGATTTATATTTGGCCTGTAAACAATTTACCCACCACGGTGGTTTGTTAAATTACGACGATTTGGAACTGAGATTAGATTCATGAACGGGTTATATATCATCTCCGTTTGTAGCGTTTCTCATTCCCCCCCCTGCCCCATCTCATTTTTCCATCTACAGCCAATTCAATCACTTGTCATGCACTATTCAGGGTCAAGATTAAATTCAATAATCATCAGCACGGTTGGTTATAAGTAGTTCAACATACTTCCATACATTAATTTACGTTCATACGTGGGCTTCCGTGACCAATACCATGAATCATAATTCGTTTCTTTGAACGTGTAGTGTATAATGCAAATTTTCAACGAGGCCCTCCGTCACCCACCCGACGGAGCAAATCAAATCAAGCCCTCACGTGGGTAAACATACCAAATTACTTGGTTTATCAACAAACCGGAGGAGAGATGAAAAGCGAGGAACGTTTTTAAAATATATATATATTTTTACGTCTGTTTACGTTTAGCTGGAAATGACATCCGGCATCATCAGGTGTTGAGAAAAGCTCAGCTCTCGTGTGAGTGAGCTTCGCGGATAATCATTCTTTTTTTTGGACAAACAGTTACGTGAGAGCATGTCTCCAAAGCATTCAATATATTAACGCTAAATCTAATTACAATGCACGTGATGATTCACTAACTAGCTATTTGACAAAAAGCCACAATTAGGGATTGTGATTTGTATTGTTTTTATTCTGTCTCATGTGTGAAGTGTTGTCCTCCATTAGGCTTGATTGAATAGGGATGTACTGATTCAATTAATTGTTGCTTATTAGAGCAGCGATTCATTATCTACAGTCACAGAATGACCCTCTGTGACTGCAGGTGGCAATGTCGACTCGTTATAGACAAGATATGCGAACTGAAAAACAACGATTCTGCCAACAGCACCTCAAGTAGGAATCGATCCCCAAAGATTCTTCGACTGTCATTTCCGAAGCTCGTGATACACCCGTTGAATCACGAGTGTAAGAATCCAGTGTTTTTGGATTTGTGTACATTTTGTAGGTCGACTCGGCCTCAAATGAGTACCTGGTGCGATGTGTAAACATCGCCACTCGGGCATGGTGCTAGCCACCCACTCCCCCTTCGTGCGCTGTACGGGCCTTCATATGGTCTTGCGAACAGCCCTTGCCCCAAAAGTCTGTTAAGGCCAAACGGGGGGTCTTTGTCTTTGTTTTATTGTGTACACGCAATGAGTTCACGCGACCCCCTGCAGCCATTGGAGGAGCTATATTCACGAGAATGTTGAACAGAGATTCGAGTCTTCAAATCAAATGTAGTCCCCCGAATTGCTACGATTCGTCAGAATCACCGAGGAAGGTGGGAGGACGAGTAGTGTTGACTTTGCGGAGGGAATAAAATCCGAGACATATCACGGCAAGATGATTATCTCAATATCGGAAGAGGGGAGGAACTGTATGTGAATGTATTGCATTGAGTGGTATTATTATTATTATGACACAACTGACAAAAACCATGTCCCAGGAAGACTTACAGATTTCCCAGGAAAAGCCACTCGGCAAAGGCCAATCCTGGAAAAACCAGGACAGGTGGCAACCCAAACAGCCAACGAGTGAAAGAAATCATTCCACCCATACTTCACTGCGGGCGTAGCAAGGCAACGCATGGCACAACCCGTGGCATACACAAACGACGAGTCAGCCTCAGCAGGCGCAAGCCCGCACGGCGCGACCTCACCGTGGAGAAGAACATGGTGTAGGTGTAGACGGAGGCTTCCATGAGGAGGTGGTTACGCAGGGCGATGACGATGGGCGGGATGAAGAGAAGGTTGCTGAACGTGAGCAGAATCACGTGGATCATCTGCTCCCTGTAGGACAGAGCGTTTCTGCCATCCGTACAGCCCCAGCCATCCCAATCTGCACACCACAACAGCAGCAGCAGCAGCAGCCGCCATTCGCCACTTAGTGATGACGACTTCACCACACCGCTTGTGCCAGGCTAGGTGCACTTTGAGGCCACTTCCAAGTGTGGTTAGGCACGCAGTAAGGATGTCACAGGCCCGATCCCAGGTGGCATGGGCTAACTTACTGAGATGACTGGAAGATGCACTGCCTGTGCTCCCCAGTGGCACAGTGGGCACACATGCACACAAGCAGAGCAAATGCAAAGATCCGGCGTATAGCATCTATAAAAACTTGCACAGCCAAAACAAATTAAAATGTCACGGGGTGTGCAAGCGTCGAACGTGCCAATTATCACCGTTTCGACTCGCCAAGCAGTCGCGAGCCGGCGGAAGATTCTCACGAACCAAATTTAGCGACCAGGAACGACAAGTTCCTGCTTGAAACTACGTCAAAGCAACACTCTGGAAATGGTCAGAATAGAATCCAGGAAGCCGGTGCGTCGAGTGCTCACCGGCGCGGCAGCGACAGGCAGCCAGCATGTAGGAGTAGGAGCGCAAGAGGTGGCACTCCCCGTACGTCCCGCAGCTGTCGATGCACGGCGACAGGAACATGCGGAGGCTGACCTGGGCGCTCGTGTTGGCGCACTCCGCCAGGGAGCTGGCAACAAAGACGAGCGGGGGAGGCGTTGAAGCGCGCGATATCCAAGGCAGGCGCGCGTGCGGGTGCACACACAACGTGATTATAATGATCACACGGCCAAGTGTGTTTGGCGTCACACAGCTCGTACGCAAAACACACGGAGGGACGCAGAGACACACACACACAGCACAGAAACACAAATTCACACAGCTACAACAGATTCCATTCGCCACGAAGAGACGGCACCTGAGCCGCATCACTTGTGACAGGCTAGGTGCACTGTGAGGCCACGTGACGTGTTGAAGACTCGCTGCTGTCGGGATGTCACAGGCCAGACCCAGAAGCGTTTTGGGCAAGGTGCACCACCCGCGCTCCCCAATGTATGTATGTTGAACGTCTTTTGTGCCGTGCATAGCCAACCATGTTAATCGGAGGTGCGGATTACTGTCCCACTCACAGACGCACAAACATTCATACAGACATAGACAAAGACCTCCCCCAATAAAACCTTAACAGACTGTTGGGGCAAGTGCTGTTAGCAAGACCGGAGCGGCACAAGAGAGGGTGAGTGGCCAGCACCAAGCCAGAACGCCTTACTCTCCCGAGTGGCGATGCGTATGCACTGGACAAGGTACTCATTTAAGGCTAAGTCTACCTAGGGGAGGCCCAGGTCCGGTTCAAATAACCGTCACTGCTGTTGGCCGTGAGCGGGAATCAAAATCAGGTCGCCGGGTTTGTAGCGCAGCGTGCTAACCGCTACACCACCGTTCCCCACACAGACGCGCACAGAGACACGCACTCACACACACACACACCAATACAACTATGGGTGGCTGCCAGTGTCTTGTGTGTACCTGTTGGTCCCGCAGAGGGTCCGCAACGTCACGTACCAGCGCCCCGGCTGGGGAAAGGGCAGCAGCAGGCGAGCCCGTTCGGCTCCGGGCCGAACCCACACTAGGCTGCCCTCGGAGCTCACTGTAGTGCAAGCAGCGCAAGCAACTCCATCAGCACAGCAACACGCACCGCTCAACCGCCACTGTCTGATCCACGTTCGGATAGATATTTTGGGTTCGGCCAACTAGTTGGTAGTGGTGGCCTCTCTATATGGGGCGCCACTGTGGCGAGATGTTAACTACCTCGACTGGTATACAGGAGGTCGTGGGTTTGATCCCAACCCTGATGCCTGTATATTTAGGGTTTGCATGTTCTCCCCGTGGTCGTGTGGATTTTTCTCCGGGTCCTCCGGTTTTTCCCTCCACATTATAATCAACGTCACGCGTTTAGAGTATTTGGCTGCGATAAATTTCCACGTGATAAGCCACTTCATTGAGCTATCACTTGTGGCCAGGTCGCTTTTGAAAAAAAAGCCACATAGCTCAGTGGTGAGCCTTACCTGGTAAAGGGTCCTTGCCTGAAAGGTAGTTGTGTTATGGATGAAGGTATTGAGGGTTGTTTTTTGTTGTTAATCGTGCTTGTGGACCACTGCCAACGCAGCAGCATCGCCAACAGACTTTTTTGGCAGTGAGGGTTAAATGACAAGAACTTTGGCATAAAACTACTAAATGTGGTTTTACCCAAACAAAAAATAAATGTGGATCAAAGCATTGGCTACAAAGACCTACATTTAAACCTCCACCCTCTGTGGGCGGATTACCTGGGTTGTGGATTAACCGTGCTCAGGAAGTTATTTGTATATTTATTTGTATTATTTAGTAGCTGATATTCGTTTGTTGGGGGTGAGTCAAGCGGTGTCCACCTGGCCGCAAAAACGTAGCTGGCGAGCGCTTTAAACGGATTACGTCACGACGTGATGAATACAGATGATACACTCCACGTCCTGGGAGGGTATCAGTGTGTGGCGTCGCAGTGATGACATGTAGGGTGAGTGTCGGTGTGGCATCGCAGTGATGACACGTAGGATGAGTGTCAGTGTAGCGTCGCAGTGATGACGCGTAGGGTGAGTGTCAGTGTAGCGCCGCAGTGATGACACGTAGGGTGAGTGTCAGTGTGTGGCGTCGTGGTGATGACACGTAGGGTGAGTGTCGGTGTGTGGCGTCGTGGTGATGACACGTAGAGTGAGTGTCAGTGTGTGGTATCGTGGTGATGACACGTAGGGTGAGTGTCAGTGCGTGGCGTCGTGGTGATGACGTGTAGGGTGAGTGTCAGTGTGTGGGGTCGTGGTGATGACACGTAGGGTGAGTGTCGGTGCGTGGCGTCGTGGTGATGACGTGTAGGGTGAGTGTCGGTGCGTGGCGTCGCAGTGATGACACGTAGGGTGAGTGTCAGTGTGTGGGGTCGTGGTGATGACCTGTAGGGTGAGTGTCGGTGTGTGGGGTCGTGGTGATGACACGTAGGGTGAGTGTTGGTGTGTGGGGTCGTGGTGATGACCTGTAGGGTGAGTGTCAGTGTGTGGCGTCGTGGTGATGACGTGTAGGGTGAGTGTCGGTGCAGTGCTCACTGGTGCTGCACGCCAGGGTGGAGTTGAGTGAGACGAGCGGCACGTCCGGGTTCAGGCAGGCGAGCACCGTCACGTTGTGGCCTTGCACGGAGCTCTGTGCACACACACACACACGGGCATGGGGGGGGGGGGGGGGGGGGGGTACACGTGTATGTCTATGACAAAGATCCCCCCGTATAGTCTAAGACTACGGGGTAAGTTCTGTTAGTGTGCCTACCTATGAAAGCCGGCACAGCGCGAAAGCAGGTGGGGTGTTGTTAGCACCACGCCTGGCCACTTTCGTCTACCCAGTGCTGATGTTTACAAACTGCAGCCAGGCACCCATTGAAGGCTGAGTTGACCTAGGTGAGACCCAAGACCAGTTCAGATATTCGTCACGGATGTTGCTCGTTACTGGGAATCGAACACTTCGTTCAAGGGCCTCTCGCAGTGACAGAAGTTCACTGAAAGCACCAAAATTAACAACGCAGCTTTACCACGTCGAAAATCATTCCCCCTCAAGTACGCGATAAGCACGGCTCGGATGCTTGCAGCGATGGATATCATTTGCAGACCGTTCCAAAGTGGTAGGTCTCAAGTGACCGTGGGCCGTATGGAGATGAAGCTGTGGGTCGCATCCGGCCAGCGGGCTGTCAGCTTCCCACCCCCGCCCAAGTCGCGGTGTCGAGGTGTTAACCACCTCGCTTGGTGTGCGGGGGGTCGTGGGTTCGATCACGACCCTGACGCATTTCTATTTGGAGTTTGCGTGTTCTCCCCGTGGTCGTGTGGATTTTTCACATTTAGAATCAACATCATGCGTTTAGAGTGTCTGGCTGCTATAAATGTCCACATGATGATAAGCCACTTCGTTGAGCAATCATTTGTGGGGGGGGGGGGGGTCGCTTCTGAAAAAAAAGACTATATAAGCCTAGTGGGCCATACCTGTTAAAATAAAAATAGCTTAGATTTAGTTTAGTCCCCGTGCACGAGTCGAAAAATTGCCGCTCCATCTCCCGCCGCGTCCGGAAGGAAAAAAAAGAAAAAAAAAACCCACATCTCACCATATTGAGCGCGATCTCAAAGTTGAGCGTGGCTCCCCCGTCAAGCAGCGGCCCCAGCTGCAGGCTGAGCGTGACGGGCGAAGCGCTGGTCACCGTCACGTTGGGGCCGTAGAAAACGAAGAACTGCGTCGACAGCGTGTTGAGGTCGTTGCGCAACGTGGGCCGCACGGGCAGGCACAGCTCGGGGACGCCGGCGGGGACGTCGGTCCTCGCGCTCCAGTTTCCCGACGGCGACAGGTCCGCGTCGCGCTGGTACCCGCTGGCGGCGGGGCCATACTGGGAGCAGTCTGCGAGGAGGTTGTGGGGAGGGGGGGTGGGGGGGCGGGGTGGAATGGAATGGAAAGTGGTGGCGACAACCAAGTGGTCAACTCTGACCCTCCACATTGTCCATTTAATGACCCGAGTTTCATGCGCAGATGGGCTGTACAGTAAAACCTTGGAATGCGAGTACCTTGGTCCGCGAGTGTTTTGCGAGACGAGCAAAAATTTTAAATTAATTTTAACTTGATGAACGAGCGAGGTCTTGCAATGCGAGTAGTGTACGTATACGCTTTGTCTGCCGAGCATCACGTGATCACAACTGAGCCGATGGTTCTTCTCTCTCGTATAGTCAACATCCGTGCGAGCGTATACTGTTTACTATAGTGTTGTGACCACGTGTGTGTGCGTAAAGCATTTTTTTTAATTTTGTGTCCAAGTGTAGTGACTGTTCTTTAGTAACTGTACTGCAACAATGGCCCCCATGAAATCCTCAAAAGGAGGCAAAAGCAAGTGTCATTGGATAGGTTCCTTGTTAAAATCGCACACAAAGAAAAAAGTGAGCCAACAGATGGCAGTGATTCCGTTATTGACAGTGAAAGTCGTCCTACACAATAACCCTCCTCTCCTCTCTCTCGTCTCCCTCACACCAGCCACGATTACATTTAATTAAAAAAATTGATTACTTTATATTAAATTGAAACAATAAAAATATAAAAAGGTATTTTGTATTAATCATTTTTATATGAATATTTTTGGGTTGTGAAACGAGTCATCTGAGTTTCCATTATTTCTTATGGGGAAATTCACTTTGATATACGAGTGCTTAGGATTACAAACACGTTTCTGGAACGAATCATGCTCGCAATCCAAGGTTTTACTGTACGTCGCAAAGCCACACGCGTGGGAAGGGGGTGCTGTATCCCGATGACATAATCGACCCGCGTACCAACCAGGTTCGACCCCGCTTAGCTTCCGCTGCCAAACAAGACGTGGCGCACACGCGCACACCCGCATGCATTCGGTGCGATTCCGTTGTAGCGGCAACCGGCGGCCGGGTGCGGAACCCCCACCCAGCTCCACCCCACACCCCTCCCACCACCCGACGCACGGGCGCACCTGTGACGAGCGCGGAGATGAGGAAAGTGACGTTGGCGTTTGTGGCGAGCTTCTCCACGGAGATGTAGTACCACACGCCCCACAGGGGCGACACGGAGAGCGAGCATTCGGCTCCTCCGCTCGGGCAGTCCCGCGTGCTCGAGTTGCTCACCGGCGGAGCTTTGGGGCGGAGCTGAATTCTGAATTCGCGGGTCGGGTGACAAAAACGGACAAATGACATTTTTGCGACGCGAAAGCGTGTTTGCAATTAAACTAATTTTCATTCGTTGTCAAATCGTTTACAGTATATACGTGTGTGTGTGTGTTCATCTATAGGTCTCCCATGTGTTTTCAGGTCGTTACCGAGCGGCACTGTTCGACGTTTCGCTTTGCTGGGCAGCTTCTTCAGTTGCACCAAACGACGACACGTGGTACGACATCGGAGAGCCCCACAGCGCAGCCACGAATAGCGACGTAGCAGTAAGACGGATTTTGTCACTCTCCCCCCCCCCCCCCCCCCCCCCCCGCCGACTGAGTGATCAGTGCCACGTCACGAGATTAAAAAAAGAACCAATTCGGAATTCTCACAACAGCGGTGGAATCTTTTCACGTGAAAAGAACGGCCCAAGGGGGTGGGAATCGCAGAGTCATTACCTCTTGAGATTCCTTCTAGTGATCTCTGATCCACATGGTAGGAGGGTTGCACTTTTTCATCCCACACTGCCCACAGAGCAATATTTATCACACGACAGTCGATCCAATATTTTTAATATTCAGAGATAAAATTTGGCCAAATTAATTGGAGATAAAAAAATTGGGGGGGGGAAGGGGGGGGGTGACCGGGCTAAGACCATCATCTCACTGAACTTGAGAAGCGGGTCTGTAATCACAGGCAGTGGCTGAAACCTGGATTCGAACCCAGGCTCTCGGCGGTGCCGGCTCAGCGCTCCGACCTCCAAGCCACCCGGCCACCCACTCCGCCATTTTCCCTTTGAAGCTTCACATTTAAAAGAACCGTCAACGCTGAGCACAAACAGAGGCGAGTTTGCGTCGTGTTGAACGCATCTCTTTACGCCACCCTACCTGATGGGACAGCTGGTAAGGGAGCCATTCCCCGCCTGGCTGCCAGCCACGGAACAGTTGGTGACGGAGAGAGTCAGGAGGGTGGAAAACTCCGGGACGTACACCCTGCAGAGACACGCGGTCACACGGCCAAACATTGTGCATTGTGACACTGAACATAAATGTTGCGCCTGATTGCAGGCAAATTATAGGTTTCATTTAGAGGACGCACCGTTTGTGCTCATCTGCGCCGTGCTCCTAATTGAACGATGTTTTTCAAACCCAATCACCATTCAAAGACCCCTGACGTCGTCACGTTTTTAGAAACTAAAGGAAGCTTGAGCACGGTTAGTACCGTATTTTCCTGCATATAACCCGCAGACGCATGTACCCCGAAATAATTGCGTTTTGTGTAAAACAAATTTCAGATAGCCTGCACCTCCATATACCCCGCAGGGTCTTGTTTTGTTCGTAAAAAGTGGTATACCCCGTGGGTTATATGCGGGAAAATACGGTACTTGCGTGGGTGATTGCCCGGGAATACCAGGCGCTGTAGGCTTGGGCTGCGAGGTGGCTAGATGGACGCAGTTTTATGTGCATCCCTTTTACGTGCACGGTGCAATCACTTGGAGTTCTCCGGTTGCTGTCTTCCCAAATTAATCCATTGGCCTCCCCCGCACTGTAATTCTGAGGTTCGAGTACGATCAAAGATAAGAATTAGCCGGAACGTGACGCTTTGGGAGGGAATATTTACGTGACTCGCCCACTGTGCGCTCATCCAGCTGTGCCGATCTCTCAGTATAACCCCTGCGTGTGTGTGTGGGTTTTCTCCGGGTCCTCGTGTTTCCTCCCGCACGAGGTCAAACAGTTTAAGGAATTGGCCAATCATCTGAATTTGGCCCTCTTGAAAACAAGTCTCAAGCCTTAGTGATGAGGCTTTCATCAGTAAATAAATGGAATTATGTTTAGTTATTATTCTCAGTGGCTATGATCAAACAAAACACCTGGAATGCACTCCATCTCATCAGACAAACGCTGAGTGTTGAATGGCGGTTGTTGTTGTTACAGGCTGCCGTGGGGTTTTATTGTGAGCAATAGAGGGACAGTGCAACATACTTCCATTGCTGTTCTATGTTCGATGCTCTCCGCCTTCGCGGCCCTTTTCAGGAATGCGTCCGTAACGCGTCAAACGGGGAGCCACCCTTACGAAAACCGAATCCACGTGGGGATCGAGCACTCACTTGCTCAGCACACTGCTGTTGCCATTCAAAATGTCCAGCGGCAGGGGTGAGTGCGGGTAGAGGATGGGCAGCCCCGTGACGCGCTGCACAATCAGCTGTGGCTGAAACAAGTAGTGGCACTCGGCCGTGAGGCCCTGTCGGGTTCCACGCACACATACAACACGCAGTATAAATACACACAGCAACAATAGTAACAACATCCCCAGCACAAAGTCTTACAAAAGCCCCCCATGCACAAATGCACACAAGCTTCAGTGTTAAACAAGCATGTAAGACTTCAAGTCCATTACAAGCCTGGACGTGTGCATTGTTTATCCCGTCTCGCCAATAAATTCGTATCAACCGTCTCAGATACTTGTGTTCGAATGCCAACAATTTATTTTCGGGATGTTTAGTTAGAGTCCAAGCTCTCCGATTCACACAGTAAAAACAGATATCACTCCTGCCTCAAATACCCTTTTCTTTAAACACAAAGACAAAGATCCCCCATATAACCTTGACGGAATGTTGGAGCAAGTGCTGTTAGCGAGCACTTATGAAGGCCGGCATAACACGAGAGGGTGGGTGGCCAGCACCACGCACAGCCGCCTTTGTCTCCCAAGTGGCAATGTTTACACACCGGACCAGGTACTCATTTTGAGGCTGAGTTGACCGAGAGGAGGCCTAGGACTGGTTCAGATAATCGTCACTGGTGTTGGCCGTGAGCGGGAATTGAACTCGGGAGGCCGGGTTCATAGCACAGCATGCTAACCTCTACACTACACACATATACACTTAGGTCTCTTCTTTTCAAATGCGATTTCAAACGAAAACCTACCCTGCTAACACAATATGCCTCTAGAATTCCTTCTCAGAGCCCACTGCATCAAAGTCCTCCACGCCACCTCAACCTTTTCTCAGGTCTCCCTCCGCACGTACCTTGACCGAAATCTTGCCGTCGTCGCGCGGCAGATGGGCAGCCAGAAACCACGGGCCGGGCAGCGGGGCGGTGATGTTGAGGCTGCCCGTGGTCTTGTTGGGCGACACCCAAGGCAACGTGAGGCTCAGCAGGCCAGGCACGAGCGTGTTGTCGGGAAAGCTGGTATTGAGGGGGTTTATAACCGGAGGTGCCCCCGCCCGCAGGTACCTGCACGCAGCGTCAAGAGCAAAAAAAATTACACGCTGCAGTGTAATCGAAGCGCCTCGGTATCACGCAGAGAGGCGGCCCAAGAAATGACTCAATCGGTATAAACGCATGGGAATCATCGCCCACCTAATGACTTAATCCCCACTGGCTGGGCAGGCGCCAAGTCAACTTGTGCCACATAGGGGGCGGACAGCTGCCACTGGGGGTTGCCGCCCTTTCAAAAGTGTTGAGTGGGAGCTGCGACGCAGGTCGCTTATCGTGCCCAATATGCCGGGGTGTCTCTGAGTGAGCGCTTAAAAAAAAGTATCATTAATATTAACACGTCACATGCCACCTCAGCTATTCCACTGCCCTGTGGGGGTCTAGCCTAAGGCAACTCCAGTGGCAACCATACCTCAAGATGCACAAGGTCTACGCAGCACCGGATTTCAAAATGGGTACAGTATATGCCAATATGGGGGCTAATGTTGCCAGGCGAGTTTTACCACCTGAATAATTTGGCAAGTTTCGAACCATGACTCTGGCACACATCACCTACACTATAAAAAAATAACTTGGCAACGATATTTAACATCCACTATAAAGCAGATGCCACATTTTTTTTTAAATAATACACCAGCAGTATTATTTATTTTCCCAGGTAAGGCCCACTGAGCTATGCAACTCTTTTTCAGAAGAGACCTGGCCACAAGTGGTAGCTTAACGAAGTGGCTTATCACGAGGAAATGTATAGCAGCTAAATACATGCTAAATGCATATTGATTCCAGATGTAGAGGGAAAAACCGGAGGACCCGGAAAAAAAATACACACGACCACGGGGAAAAAATGCAGACTTCAAATATACAGCAGGCGTCAGGGTCGAAATAGAACCCATGACCTCCTGCATACCAGGTGGGGTAGTTAACATTTCACCATGTGGCGCCCGCAGAGCTCAAACAAAGGGGGGCAAGGAGGCATGGAAGTGAGAGGTGGAGTGCGATAGATTTTGCCAAGCTCTCTTCTGCTGCCCCACAACGTGGCCCTGCAGCCTGTAACACCTGTTATGCACATAAGGCGCCCATCAAAGCACAACCCAGGCTCAACCCTGCTTTGGCTTCCGAGAGTGGTCACGATCGGGCGCGTTCCAGTTATTTAGCAACAGCCAGCGAACACACGGGATAATAAAATCGAGGCACGTAATGATGCATCGATTAAAATTAATTCACATTGATTACTATCCCTAAGATTAGGGGTTTAAAGATGCAACGAGTGATTCATCACTTGAAATAAATTATTGTGCTCGTAATTGCGAACATCTTGTTGTACGGGCAAAAATCAATACGAATAGTCAACATGACTCAGAGTGCCGATTCAACTATTGATTTCGTTTTACATAAACGTGAATGTACTGGCCAGCCGTAAGCTGCAGGGATTACATGAATACATTTACGTATAATTGATACAAATGGAAGTCTTACTTCCTGCGATTCGACGTGTGAACTGATGCAACGTTTTAACCCCTCCATGAAGACAAACACACAATAACATTTACTGCATTCTTGAATCCAACCACAAACCCATATATCAATGAATTCGAATCGCTCGGAGGAATGTGAAGGGTCATTTACAATACCGGCACTGCCGGTTTAAGGACACCAAGTTCCATCATAGCCAGAAGGGTTCTAAGCGACTCAAGAGGTCAGAGATACGAGTAACCGCAGGGAACCTGTGTTCGAATACGGGCAGCCGTTTGCGATTAAACCGGGTTCTCACGGCTCCGCGAGGCAATGGGTGCACACACAACAACAACAATAACAACACACAACCCCGTTACATTTTTAAGTGTGCCGAGTACCGACACACTCATAACCACAATGCACACAACGGCATTATGACAAAAGCGCAACATCTCATATGACGGTGGGTATGGGTCTGTATTTCTGCGGGTGCTGTTTTTACACAATCGGCACAACCGCTGGCGAAGACGACAAAAAATTAGGTTTTCAAGTGTGGAGGTCACGTACACGAATATGTCATGGTCGGGGCAGTCCTGTCCCAGCCCTGCGCCTCTCTCTTTAAACGCCACCAGGTTCCAAAGCGCCAGCGTCGTGTCCTCGGGCAGCGAGAAGTGGAAGAGCTTCACGTTGGTGTAGGAGTGGTAAAAGGAGAGTTTCTCGGGACCTTGGGTGAAGTATTCAGTGACGACTCGCAATCCTGAGCGTGGGAAGGTGTCAGGGGGAGAGAGAGTTTGGGGAGAGGTAATGAAAACATTGTCCGTACACAGTCGCCATCGTCAATATACTGCTGGATGCAGGACTCCACACACCGTGCAGACGGTGGGGGTTGTTTGATTGTACTTCACAGTGTGGGTTGACAACACAAAAACAACACCCAGTCGCGTACACCACCCAGCACCACACAACACCCAGCACCACACAACACCCAGCACCACACAATACCCAGCACCACACAACACCCAGCACCACACAACACCCAGCACCACACAACACCCAGCACCACACAACACCCAGCACCACACAACACCCAGCACCACACAACACCCAGCACCACACAACACCCAGCACCACGCAATACCCAGTTCCACGCAACACCCAGCTCCACGCAACACCCAGCACCACACAACACCCAGCTCCTAACAACACCCAGCTCCTTACAACACCACACAACACCCAGCTCCACGCAACACCCAGTTCCACGCAACACCCAGCTCCACGCAACACCTAGCTCCTAACAACAGCCAGCTCCTTACAACACCACACAACACACAGCTCCACACAACACCCAGCTCCTTACAACACCCAGCTCCTAACAACAGCCAGCACCACACAACACCCAGCTCCTAACATCAGCCAGCTCCTTACAACACCACACAACACCCACCTCCTTACAACACCGCACAACACCCAATACCACACAACACCCAGCACCACCACAACAATCAGCACTACCACAACAATCAGCACTACCACAACACCCAGCACCACCACAACACCCAGCACCACAACACCCAGCACCACCACAACAATCAGCACTACCACAACACCCAGCTCCTAACAACACCCAGCACCACCACAACACCCAAGCACCACCACAACAAAATTACACGATAACAACACCCAGGCCCATATGTAACACTAAGTATACAACGCAACACCAGTCACCACACAACGCACAGACAACACCATCACAACAATCAGCACTACCACAACACCCAGCTTCTAACAACACCCTGCACCACCACAACAATCAGCACTACCACAACACCCAGCTCCTGACAACACCCAGCTCCTGACAACACCCATCACCACCACAACACCCAACGACCCCAACAACCTGGCCGCGGACCCGGCCCCGGCCCCATCTCTCCCCCCCGCCACTGCCCTCACCTGAGCCGGCACGCAGGCACAGCGCGAGGCTCAGGACGAGGCCCGGGAGGAGCCCCGAGCCCATGGCCCCCCGGAGCGGTCGCGGTGGCGGTGGTCGAGAGCTCACGGGGTCACTGGGCTACCCGGTCACTCCTCACTGCCCGACGCACCACCACCACCACCTCATCATCATCATCGTCGTCGTCGTCGTCCTCGTCGTGCCGCCTGCCGCTTCGCGTTCCTCATCGCCCGGAAGCCGCACCTGCGCGTGACGTCACCGCGGCCGGCGCCGCCACGTGACCGTCGCGCGGTTGCCAATGGCAGCGCGGTGACGTCACGATCCCCCCACCCCTTACCCCACACCCGCCCACCCCTTACCCCCCCACCCGCCCACCCCTTACCCCCCCCACCCACCCGCCCACCCCTTACCCCCCCCACCCACCCACCCGCCCACCCCTTACCCCGCCCACCCCTTACCCCCTCCCACCCACCCGCCCACCCCTTACACCCCCCACCCACCAACCCCCCACCCACCCCTCCCCCCCCCCCCCCCCCCCCCCCCCCCCCCCCCCCCCACCCCACCCCCCCCCCCACCCCCCCCCCCCCCACCCCCCCCCCCCCCCCCCCCCCCCCCCACCCCCCCCCCCCCCCCCCCCCCCCCCCCCCCCCCCCCCCCCCCCCCCCCCCCCCCCCCCCCCCCCCCCACCCCCCCCCCCCCCCCCACCCCCCCCCCCCCCCCCCCCCCCCCCCCCCCCCCCCCCCCCCCCCCCCCCCCCCCCCCCCCCCCCCCCCCCCCCCACCCCCCCCCCCCCCACCCCCCCCCCCCCCCCCACCCCCCCCCCCCCCCCCCCCCCACCCCCCCCCCCCCCCCCCCCCCCCCCCCCCCCCCCCCCACCCCCCCCCCCCCCCCCCCCCCCCCCCCCCCCCCCCCCCACCCCCCCCCCCCCCCCCCCCCCCCCCCCCCCCCCCCCCCCCCCCCCCCCCCCCCCCCCCCCCCCCCCCCCACCCCCCCCCCCCCCCCCCCCCCCCCCCCCCCCCCCCCCCCCCCCCCCCCCCCCCCCACCCCCCCCCCCCCCCCCCCCCCCCCCCCCCCCCCCCCCCCCCCCCCCCCCCCCCCCCCCCCCCCCCCCCCCCCCCCCCCCCCCCCCCCCCCCCACCCCCCCCCCCCCCCCCCACCCCCCCCCCCCCCCCCCCCCCCCCCCCCCCCCCCCCCCCCCCCCCCCCCCCCCCCCCCCCCCCCCCCCCCCCCCCCCCCCCCCCCCCCCCCCCCCCCCCCCCCCCCCCCCCCCCCCCCCCCCCCCCCCCCCACCCCCCCCCCCCCCCCCCCCCCCCCCCCCCCCCCCCCCCCCCCCCCCCCCACCCCCCCCCCCCCCCCCCCCCCCCCCCCCCCCCCCCCCCCCCCCCCCCCCCCCCCCCCCCCCCCCCCCCCCCCCCCCCCCCCCCCCCCCCCCCCCCCCCCCCCCCCCCCCCCCCCCCCCCCCCCCCCCCCCCCCCCCCCCCCCCCCCCCCCCCCCCCCCCCCCCCCCCCCCCCCCCCCCCCCCCCCCCCCCCCCCCCACCCCCCCCCCCCCCCCCCCCCCCCCCCCCCCCCCCCCCCCCCCCCCCCCCCCCCCCCCCCCCCCCCCCCCCCCCCACCCCCCCCCCCCCCCACCCCCCCCCCCCCCCCCCCCCCCACCCCCCCCCCCCCCCCCCCCCCCCCCCCCCCCCCCCCCCCCCCCCCCCCCCCCCCCCCCCCCCCCCCCCCCCCCCCACCCCCCCCCCCCCCCCCCCCCCCCCCCCACCCCCCCCCCCCCCCCCCCCCCCCCCCCCCCACCCCCCCCCCCCCCCCCCCCCCCCCCCCCCCCCCCCCCCCCCCCCCCCCCCCCCCCCCCCCCCCCCCCCCCCCCCCCCCCCCCCCCCCCCCCCCCCCCCCCCCCCCCCCCCCCCCCCCCCCCCCCCCCCCCCCCCCCCCCCCCCCCCCCCCCCCCCCCCCCCCCCCCCCCCCCCCCCCCCCCCCCCCCCCCCCCCCCCCCCCCCCCCACCCCCCCCCCCCCCCCCCCCCCCCCCCCCCCCCCCCCCACCCCCCCCCCCCCCCCCCCCCACCCCCCCCCCCCCCCCCCCCCCCCCCCCCCCCCCCCCCCCCCCCCCCCCCCCCCCCCCCCCCCCCCCCCCCCCCCCCCCCCCCACCCCCCCCCCCCCCCCCCCCCCCCCCCCCCCCCCCCCCACCCCCCCCCCCCCCCCCCCCCCCCCCCCCCCCCCCCCCCCCCCCCCCCCCCCCCCCCCCCCCCCCCCCCCCCCCCCCACCCCCCCCCCCCCCCCCCCCCCCCCCCCCCCCCCCCCCCCCCCCCCCCCCCCCCCCCCCCCCCCCCCCCCCCCCCCCCCCCCCCCCCCCCCCCCCCCCCCCCCACCCCCCCCCCCCCCCCCCCCCCCCCCCCCCCCCCCCCCCCCCCCCCCCCCCCCCCCCCCCACCCCCCCCCCCCCCCCCCCCCCCCCCCCCCCCCCCCCCCCCCCCCCCCCCCCCCCCCCCCCCCCCCCCCCCCCCCCCCCCCCCCCCCCCCCCCCCCCCCCCCCCCCCCCCCCCCACCCCCCCCCCCCCCCCCCCCCCCCCCCCCCCCCCCCCCCCCCCCCCCCCCCCCCCCCCCCCCCCCCCCCCCCCCCCCCCCCCCCCCCCCCCCCCCCCCCCCCCCCCCCCCCCCCCCCCCCCCCCCCCCCCCCCCCCACCCCCCCCCCCCCCCCCCCCCCCCCCCCCCCCCCCCCCCCCCCCCCCCCCCCCCCCCCCCACCCCCCCCCCCCCCCCCCCCCCCCCCCCCCCCCCCCCCCCCACCCCCCCCCCCCCCCCCCACCCCCCCCCCCCCCCCCCCCCCCCCCCCCCCCCCCCCCCCCCCCCCCCCCCCCCCCCCCCCCCCCCCCCCCCCCCCCCCCCCCCCCCCCCCCCCCCCCCCCCCCCCACCCCCCCCCCCCCCCCCCCCCCCCCCCCCCCCCCCCCCCCCCCCCCCCCCCCCACCCCCCCCCCCCCCCCCCCCCCCCCCCCCCCCCCCCCCCCCCACCCCCCCCCCCCCCCCCCCCCCCCCCCCCCCCCCCCCCCCCCCCCCCCCCCCCCCCACCCCCCCCCCCCCCCCCCCCCCCCACCCCCCCCCCCCCCCCCCCCCCCCCCCCCCCCCCCCACCCCCCCCCCCCCCCCCCCCCCCCCCCCCCCCCCCCCCCCCCCCCCCCCCCCCCCCCCCCCCCCCCCCCCCCCCCCCCCCCCCCCCCCCCCCCCCCCCCCCCCCCCCCCCCCCCCCCCCCCCCCCCCCCCCCCCCCCCCCCCCCCCCCCCCCCCCCCCCCCCCCCCCCCCCCCCCCCCCCCCCCCCCCCCCCCCCCCCCCCCCCCCCCCCCCCCCCCCCCCCCCCCCCCCCCCCCCCCCCCCCCCCCCCCCCCCCCCCCCCCCCCCCCCCCCCCCCCCCCCCACCCCCCCCCCCCCCCCCCCCCCCCCCCCCCCCCCACCCCCCCCCCCCCCCCCCCCCCCCCCCCCCCCCCCCCCCCCCCACCCCCCCCCCCCCCCCCCCCCCCCCCCCCCCCCCCCCCCCCCCCCCCCCCCCCCCCCCCCCCCCCCCCCCCCCCCCCCCCCCCCACCCCCCCCCCCCCCCCCCCCCCCCCCCCCCCCCCCCCCCCCCCCCCCCCCCCCCCCCCCCACCCCCCCCCCCCCCCCCCCCCCCCCCCCCCCCCCCCCCCCCCCCCCCCCCCCCCCCCCCCCCCCCCCCCCCCCCCCCCCCCCCCCCCCCCCCCCCCCCCCCCCCCCCCCCCCCCCCCCCCCCCCCCCCCCCCCCCCCCCCCCCCCCCCCCCCCCCCCCCCCCCCCCCCCCCCCCCCCCCCCCCCCCCCCCCCCCCCCCCCCCCCCCCCCCCCCCCCCCCCCCCCCCCCCCCCACCCCCCCCCCCCCCCCCCCCCCCCCCCCCCCCCCCCCCCCCCCCACCCCCCCCCCCCCCCCCCCCCCCCCCCCCCCCCCCCCCCCCCCCCCCCCCCCCCCCCCCCCCCCCCCCCCCCCCCCCCCCCCCCCCCCCCCCCCCCCCCCCCCCCCCCCCCCCCCCCCCCCCCCCCCCCCCCCCCCCCCCCCCACCCCCCCCCCCCCCCCCCCCCCCCCCCCCCCCCCACCCCCCCCCCCCCCCCCCCCCCCCCCCCCCCCCCCCCCCCCCCCCCCCCCCCCCCCCCCCCCCCCCCCCCCCCCCCCCCCCCCCCCCCCCCCCCCCCCCCCCCCCCCCCCCCCCCCCCCCCCCCCCCCCCCCCCCCCCCCCCCCCCCCCCCCCCCCCCCCCCCCCCCCCCCCCCCCCCCCCCCCCCCCCCCCCCCCCCCCCCCCCCCCCCCCCCCCCCCCCCCCCCCCCCCCCCCCCCCCCCCCCCCCCCCCCCCCCCCCCCCCCCCCCCCCCCCCCCCCCCCCCCCCCCCCCCCCCCCCCCCCCCCCCCCCCCCCCCCCCCCCCCCCCCCCCCCCCCCCCCCCCCCCCCCCCCCACCCCCCCCCCCCCCCCCCCCCCCCCCCCCCCCCCCCCCCCCCCCCCCCCCCCCCCCCCCCCCCCCCCCCCCCCCCCCCCCCCCCCCCCCCCCCCCCCCCCACCCCCCCCCCCCCCCCCCCCCCCCCCCCCCCCCCCCCCCCCCCCCCCCCCCCCCCCCCCCCCCCCCCCCCCCCCCCCCCCCCCCCCACCCCCCCCCCCCCCCCCCCCCCCCCCCCCCCCCCCCCCCCCCCCCCCCCCCCCCCCCCCCCCCCCCCCCCCCCCCCCCCCCCCCCCCCCCCCCCCCCCCCCCCCCCCCCCCCCCCCCCCCCCCCCCCCCCCCCCCCCCCCCCCCCCCCCCCCCCCCCCCCCCCCCCCCCCCCCCCCCCCCCCCCACCCCCCCCCCCCCCCCCCCCCCCCCCCCCCCCCCCCCCCCCCCCCCCCCCCCCCCCCCCCCCCCCCCACCCCCCCCCCCCCCCCCCCCCCCCCCCCCCCCCCCCCCCCCCCCCCCCCCCCCCCCCCCCCCCCCCCCCCCCCCCCCCCCCCCCCCCCCCCCCCCCCCCCCCCCCCCCCCCGCCCCCCCCCCCCCCCCCCCCCCCCCCCCCCCCCCCCCCCCCCCCCCCCCCCCCCCCCCCCCCCCCCCCCCCCCCCCCCCCCCCCCCCCCCCCCCCCCCCCCCCCCCCCCCCCCCCCCCCCCCCCCCCCCCCCCCCCCCCCCCCCCCCCCCCCCCCCCCCCCCCCCCCCCCCCCCCCCCCCCCCCCCCCCCCCCACCCCCCCCCCCCCCCCCCCCCCCCCCCCCCCCCCCCCCCCCCCCCCCCCCCCCCCCCCCCCCCCCCCCCCACCCCCCCCCCCCCCCCCCCCCCCCCCACCCCCCCCCCCCCCCCCCCCCCCCCCCCCCCCCCCC